AGTGGAGAAGACAGTCGAGATGACGGCTAAACCCATATGGTAGTGACACGGATTAGCTCTGATCGTGTTTGAGAGTAACAGAAGCAAGCCAATCAAAAGCCATTACACAGCCATTTCGAAACGAGTGCAAACGACGGCGTCCAGAAGAGGGTGGCTGCAGTACGAATTGGGTGCAGTACGTACTTGTGCGGCGTTGGGTTGCAGTAGTGCGAGATGGTGTGGTGTCAGCACAGGTGGAGGAAACCCTCCACAGAACTGCTAACCTGAGACGCCGTCTCAGGTGAGATGAAGTACATACCGTACGTACTCAGGGTACTGTACAGGACAGGACATGAAAGCGAGTGGACAACCCTGAAGAAACAGAAACGTCGCTGAAGGCGAAGGAGAACCGAGAGCGATATGAAGGATCAAGTCCTATTCCAGAGGGAGAGAAGCTTCCATGCTTAAGAACTAATTAACTCTTCTCCCCGCTAGAAGGAACTTCGTCCTAGCAACCTTTCGGGCTAAAACAACCAGAAAGCCACCTGAGGCGTTGACGGCGGGAGATGTGCGGCTCCTCTCTTCATTTCGCCAGGGTCATGGCGTTAATTTTTTTCTTTGTTCATTTTGTTGGCAATGAGTCGCGAATGACTTCCCCATCCATAGTAAGGAGCATAGCACTGTGCAATGAAGTAAAAAGTCTTCAAATTGTTTGTCGTTCACGAACAGTGGCAGATCAGATGAACTGTGCCTCCCACAAGTGGTTGACCAGGACGGACGGACAAGGAGAGTCCCGATCAGAGACAGGGGGGATCACTGAGTGATCGTCAGAGTGGTTAAGACGGACGGACGGAATTGTAGCGCTGTCATGCAAGTGAGACCCTATCTCGACCACTGTAATGTCGCCAAGATGAGTTATTGGGGTTTGCGATATACATACATACTGTAGAAACAAACCCTCGTTCATTGAATCTTGACATCGGATGTTATTGAGCGTCCTTAAATTGTTTGACTGCAGCAAGGGCTATTCTCGAACTTGTCGAGTCTCAGCGCACAATCCTCAAATCTCTGACCACGACTCCAGGTTCAACAGTGATAGGCATGAGTGACGAACATGAGGACGAATGTAGGTAGATCATCCATCCCAACAAGCTGCCAGAGGGAGTGGATTGAGTGAAGATCATGATCTCCTTGGAAAATATGTACATATGTTGGAGCAGACACAAGACGACTTGTCACATACTAGTCCAATAAGGTAGATCCTTAAGTTAGGGTTAGCCAGATAGCGACGATGGGAAGTGCTCACTGTAAGTAAACATGCAGATGAATTCCCTGATATCTTGTTCCGAAAGGATGAACTATTGATGTTTGGTGCAACCAAGGTGGGGCTGATGTGATGGAGAGAGAAAGGGTCTCGAAGTACATAAGCTCCGTTATATCGATGTCTTTGTTTTCTATCTTTTGCAGACATCGCCATTTGTCTCAGATTTGAGTATCGTATCGGCTTGGAAGATAACCAGTGCCATCCTGCCGCCATCCTTTTTTCAAAAGAACTGCGCGGTCGATAACCAAATCCACAGGTTTGCTGAAGTTAAACCTGGATAGGGATCCATCAAAAGATCGTCAGGGCCCTAGGCTGTTTGGGGTTTTCAGCGTGAGTGAGGGACAAGTTTCAGTTTTGAGAGGTTGAACAAGACGACATGGTGGGGGAACAGGCATTATTCAAACTGATTGACTGTAGGAAACATTAAGATCAGTGCCTCCATTACAGTACAGTACAGTACAGTACATATAGGCACGTAGACACAGTTACCCAGGTAGGTTTTTAGTAGATATCCGTCCGTACCCGCGTATGAACCCTGAAGGAAAAAGGTTCCCTGGTATTATCCATTTTGAGGATGAGGGGGATCGTGGTTTTGCCTCGGAATGACCTTTACCAGCGATGGGATATCGAAACCCGGTGCCTCCAGATGTGAAAAGGCAAGGGCACCCATGCGGATAAACCCCCAAACCAGGAAGGCCCCCGATCTCACCTGCTTACAGTCCCTGGCCTGGGTAGGTACCTTCCGTACAACAAGTGCATGCATGCCATCTTCGTTCTTGCCCGCTTCAATGGAGCAAGAGCAAGGGCAGCCTCGTGATGGGATGGGATGGGATGAGATGATATGCGAAGCCGATTCGGCAGCTGCGATTCACTCACCTATCGTTTGACTGGAAACTGGGGACCGCCAAAACTTTGCACCAACAACCTACAACGAATCATCCAATGATGGCCTCCTTTCTTTCCTCCTTTAGTGGTCATCGTTCGCTGATGACAGCAAGCGAACAGGCCGTCATTGGCTGCAGCGATGCGCATCTCTGTTCAGATGGACGCTATCAATTGACTAGGCCGTGGATCACTGACGAAACAAGCTGCATCGTTCTTCAGATGGCCCGGCTTTGGCCTATCCCGGGCTACCGACCAGTGACCTTGAGACTGTTAGCGTACCAGAGCCATGGGGTACACTAGCGTCGAGCATCGAGCATCAAGAAGCCTTCTATTAAGGCTCTAACTTAACTCAACATCCATACTCACGCTGCCCGTTACAAGCCGCAGAGCTCGAGGCTTCTTGACAGGAATGAGATGGAATAGATTCAGGATTCTAGACAACCCTGTCTGCCGGTCCGCACCACTCCCCCCGTCTCGGTAGGACCCTGCTTGGATTTTGTGACCGGAAACACGGTACGACAGATGGTTGTGATACGGTTCACAACGAATTCATCCTCATCAATGATCTGAGACGTGCGTTGCGGCTGCTGGGAGGTCTATTTGATTGGCGTGTCTTAGATCAGCATGAGGATTATATCAGGACTGAGGAGCGGTCAATTGGGATTCAGATCTTCAAACATGGCTTTACCAAACAAGCCCACATGGGAAAACTGCCCGTATATCAATCGACAGTACAGTACAATACGGTACTTCGTGTATTGTTATAGGCCAACAGCTTCACAGGTGTCTGTAACCAAGTGCACGGAAAAATACAGCACATTGGCCGTCCGACAGATACAACTCGTGCGCATGTCACAGCTCGAGCAGGGATGAAGGCTCTTTCAACAGCAACTGGGGCCACGTCGAAGGGTTTGCCAGATCAATAGTACAGTATCAAACCGACAGCAACGGTGAGAGCAAAATTCATGGCGACCAAGTCGACAACGAGTGGCCGACGGTTGGCTTGGGTCGTGCAGCCAGCAGGATTCAGGTGAGGACCACCCCAGACCCTGGCTCGCCATGCCTCATGTGCCATTTCTGAGAACATTTGCCCGCCTGTCAATTTGTCAATTCGATACAGTTCAGATGGCCACGGTCCTATTGTCTTGGTCTAACTTGTTTTCCGGACCGATAGAAACTGGCAAATGTCTGAATAGGGGTTTCAGCACTGCTCCTCATCAAGTCTAACTTGGACGGACAATCTAGAAGTTCATTCTTTCTCAGCCTCTGGATTGGCCTTGGATAGCCTCACCCCCCCTACAGTCTTCGAGTGTGTAGCCAACCAGGGCTACCCTAGTTGTTTTCTATTCTCTCGATCCCATCCATGTCCCTTGGCTCGTCTCGCCAGGTTGGGTCCATTGCTTCAAGTTACGAACCAGGCGCCATGCCTTTGTGTCACTTTTCCCCGTATCCCCCTTCATAAAATACATTGGCACCAAATAAAACATCGCCAGGTACCCAACCGACCCCTCATCGTCAACTGGTTAACTCTTTCTGTTGTTAACCTTTCTTGCTCTGGTCACCGGCTCTTGGTTTCTCTTCAACACTGCATTTCTCATCTTTGTCTCTAATACGTACAACCAGAGCTGCGACTGTCTGTGATAGTTCGAGGTCACTCACTTGCTGCTACCGCCGACACCAACGCCTCTTTGCCTTGTCACATTTACAGTCGGTTGTGGGAATCTCTTCATTCGCTGATCCATCGCCTGTGGCCCACGGTCTTGCATCTTACGCTGTTGGCTAGCCGCTTAAGCTGCGCTGTACAGTACAATACAGTCCTCGTTCAGCCCACCAGCAGAAAATAATCTTTGTCGATTGATGATTTGAATTTCCTGGCATTTATCCACGGGCATTATTAATCTAGCAACCGCCCAAGTTGCTGCATCTTTACTTCAATTGACGGAATAAGCAATTCTGTCAACCTGCCGACTGATTTGGAAATCAACTAAAATCGAACTGAGTTGAGCGAAACCACGCGAAACGCGGCCCTGCCGAGCTGGAGCCAACAGCCCAAACCCACGCCCCGTACCGAATTTGATACAGTCGATCGGCCGAGCCACCTTGACGCCCCTGGCTTTCTCTGAGTCGGTTACTGGCAACAAGAGGAGAGACTAATATCGTTATCTTTTCTTCCTCTTTACTTTTTCCTCTATTTTTCCTTCTCTTGAATACTTCAGTTCCCCTCTCACCAAAAGAGGAGACGACAATCATCAACCCAATTTGGTTCTTCACCTACCTATTTGTTGCCCTGTCACATCTCGTACAGAGCTGAACCGCCCGCTTTGAGCTTGGACCCAAGTCAGAGCGCAACGCAAAAGAAGAACCGTCGTCGAACCATCCACCAACCGACCAACCAGATACTTTATTTCTGGGTTTGTCGCCTGAGCTGAGCTATTGTATTCTCTCTTCTAGTCCAGCCCAGCCCAGCCTCTCCTTGTGGTTCTGGACGCCCTGCTTCTTTTCTTCCCTTTTCTTCCACGACAAGACTCGATCAAGTCGTGCGCTGACTTACCTCGGCCACGTCCACGTCCACGATCGTTTCCATTCCTGTCTCACTTCACGGTCCTCGCCGGCCGATTCATCCTGCTCCCTAAGATAGGAAGCCTACGACTCGCGAGACCCAGAAAACCCCAGCTATCTGGCTCACTCTGGCTCGCTGACTGGACTGGCTTTGTCATTTGCCTTTTTGGCTTCTCCTTGCAGCTCTTTCATCTCTTTCCAAATCTAACCACCTGTCGCCAATTCGCACAACCCTGCACTCTCTCTTTTCATTATGAGTGCTGCAATTGCCATGGCTCCCTCTCCCGCTCCCCACGAAAGATTCTCCAATCCTGAATTGCCCACTCCCTCCACGTCGGCCACCGCCGCCGCTGGCACTTCCCCATCAGCACAACGCTCCGGCCTCAATCTTTCAACATCGCATGCGACAACTCAATCCTCTACCAGCAGCAGCCCCAAAGCTGCTGGCCAAGGTAACAAGTCGTCACCCTCTAGCGCGTAAGTGTCTAATTTCATTTCTTCCATGTCAATTGATTGGTTCTTTGCTAATTTCCCTTGCAGCTCCCGATCGGCTGGCGCACCCCCTAGAATTATTGTAAAGAAAGAGCCTGCATCTCCCAGTATGACCAACACGCGACCTCGACCGCGCAAACTCGACTTGTCCAAGAACACTCCTAAATCCAACCAGCCGACCTCGGCACGGCCCATGACTGCTAGAGACGGCCTGGCTATCCAAGAAGTTGGCATTGCCTGCCTTTCTCCCGGCTTTGTAACGCAAGATCCTGTCATGAAGGAGCAGCTGCAGCGAAGTATGTCAGTTAGAGAACAGCAGCGACATATCATCGAAGCCAGACTTCACCAGCAATCCGCTAAGGGAGACGGACCCGACAAGGACAACTCTCAATTTGCTGCCAAGACACCCGGCATGTCTCGACGAAACAAGGCACCTCCTGGCCTCTCCATCGTTGCCCCTTCTCATGAGCAATTCGCCAACGAGAGAGTCATTCAGTCTGCGCCTCTTGGCCACAGCTTCACTGGACGACAGCATCCTGCTCCTATGACCCGACATATCGCCAACCAGCCATCCAACTTGTCGAGTACTTCTCATATTCACCATATTCCTGCTAACCAGACTGCCAACCGATTACCGCCCATCAGCGATGTCTTTGGCCAAGGACTTTCAGCGCATCCTGACAACGCTCCCCAGTCTCAATCTCTTTACCCCGGTGGCCCCAGCTCTCGCGGTCCCTTGACATCTCCCAGTCACCCTCCGCCTCCTCCACCTCAGGCCCCGACGCCTGGTCGTGGCCGTGAATACCGATCTGCCGAGGAGGCTCAACAAGATCTTGCTGGTGGACGACCAGAGCTTCTCCCCAAACTTGTCCACTATGGTGGCCATCAACCCCCAACACCTCCCTCTCCTGCTCCCGGCAGCCGACCCGTTGATGCGTCGCGAAGTACCAGCAGACGAAGGACCAGAGCCGAATATGAAGATGGCAGCCCACCCCTGGGCCATGGACCTGCACCTACACGTGCTCGTGGTCCCTTTGGCGCCGGTCGAGACAGCCCCGACACTCAGCGAGCCAAGAAGGAAGAGTTTATTCGACTGTGTGAACGAGCCTGGGATCTGTTCCACTCATAGACACTCGCAAACGATAATCACAATAATTCTTTCGACATCCATCGGGCCATTATTCATGGTCTCTTTTAGCCTAATAATTAAGGCGTTATTCTTGTTTATTACTTCAACATTATTATCTTGTGGCGTGTGTCCGAATCGGCTCGAAAAGGTTGGATGATACCGCGGTTTACGAATGGGGGTTCACCGGGTGGACATAATGTTTTTGGTCATGACGACGCTATGAACTGTGCGTCGATATTCTCGGTGTTCTGTTGCGGCAGAATGAATCTACTGCCCGGTTCGCAATGAGCAAAAAGGTCGATTGATCCGGCCGTTGCAGTTGCGCATCGAGCTTTTACCATTTCTGAGGTGGTCGCTATAGATGCCTTGTAACCCAGGGATGGGTTTAAACCAGATCTAGATGTCATTTGATCTGAAGCTTGGGACAGGTCAGCCGGGCGAGTATGGCCGAGGTCGATCATGTTGTCTTTTGCATGTTTATGTCGGTTCCAATCAGATATTGGCTTGAGTTTTATTGGGTTCACGGTGGGCGATGGCTTTGATAAGCCTCGCGCGGTGTATGGTTTCTGATTTTGGGCGTATTTGAATGGGATTTAACGTATCTTCTAAAAGGATATTTGGATCATATGCACTTCATTTTCTTTTGTGATTCCATTGCTCTACATGAGGCACAAGTGCATAAGCCCGCACAACACATTTCATAGGCATAATATATCTATAGTATCTTGAATATGGCCAACTCTCTTGTTTAAAGTGCAAATGGAAGTCAATTCAGGACGATGCTGTAATAGCGTTCTTTTACCTCAAGAAAGGCTGACCGGCAACATCATCTGGTGGATGAATCAAATTCCTGGCTGACTACCAAGAACAATGGCAAGTCTACAACAAAACCATAGTGACTCCATCACCTACCAGCTTATTGCTGTTTAACCGCACCTGGTATCTATGTGTTTAGACAACTTCTCGCTATGAGCGCCGATTGGAGGAGGGGTTTTCGTTCTATGAGCAAGGCGCCCTTAATAGCCGATCCAAGGTATGAACTATGTTAGTATGTAAGGAAACAGAAAAGAAATACGCTGGCTGGGACAAGATGCATAGAATTCTTGCGCTGACATGAACAACGTCTTGTCTATTCTGCTTCCTTTGTCTTTATATATCTCTGAGCTTCAACGACAGTCAGTGGCCTTCCATCCTCCTTCTTCCCTTATTCAATGATGGAGAAATCTTGAATTCAAGACTTCTTGAACCTAGCCTTTCCCAACTGCTGACTATCTTCCGGGTTCAGAAATCAGGCCCTCTTATCCAAACCAAACGTCCATTTCCCATAATTCATAACCGTTCGTGTTCGTGCTGTCTCGTCATATCATGTCTTGCCCTGCCTTGTTCTGTGCTACCTCAACTTGAGAATGCAACCTTCTTGGACCGAATTGTTCTTTAGTAATTGACAGACCGAGCCTCCCTCCCTATACCACCGGACCAACTCCTGAGCATAACCAAACCTTGCCGTGCTTCTCCTAAGTGCAAGAAACCTTTGCCCTTCCTGGGCGTGATATGCTTTATAAAACGATAAAAGAAAATATTTCTGTTTACAATACGCCCAACACCATTGCTCGGTATCAAATGACAAAGGAAATAACACAAACGATAGGTCGTGGAATCATCAGTGTCCTGGCTCACAGTACCGCCATCAACGCCAACCTGTCCTTTCGTCCCACTCGGATTTGGTTATCCCATCTAAATGGCCTCGAGTCAACTGCTCGCTGAGTCTGAACCGTCTAGATCAAAAAGACAACCAAAGGTGTTTCCTGTCATCATAGACCCTCTTCGCCAGCCTTGCATAGCTTGATCTCGCGTACCCATTCTGACTTAAGGACCTGAGCAGCTGTCAAACGACGGGTAGGATGAGGGTCGAGAACCGAGTAAATCACGTTGCGACAGCGCGCCTGAAATCCGTGTTAGTCATGGTGCATACTTGAACATCATTGCGCAAGCAAACTTACCCGATGAAGAGACTCGATGGGGCCGTAGCCTTCTTCGTCTCGGCGGCCCTCAAGGTATCGGCAATAGAACTCATCCTCATCCTTCTTGGCCAAACGCCAGAGGTGGCGACCGGTACGCATTGCCATGAAAATAACACCACAAGCCCACACATCTACAGCTCTGGCGTCGAACTCCTTATCCGTGTATTCCTCGGGGGCGATATAAGGGGCAGAGCCACAAAGGCCAGATACCATGTGCGCATCTGTTTCCCAAGCCATTCGGAAGCACTCTCCGTTGCCAAAATCTGTAATTTTAAGGGCGCCACGAGTTGTCAGAAGCAAGTTCTCGGGCTTGAGATCACGATGGGCCACACCCATTTCATGGAGATACTCCACACCACGCATCATTTGTTTGAAGAAGCAATCGGCCTCTTGAACCTCAAGCTTCCCACTCGAAAGGACGAGGGTGTAGAGATCTCCTCCAGCACAGAACTCCATGACTTCACAATAATCACCCTTGGCGTCCTTGAGTAAGTCAAGCGTGTGGATAACGTTGGGGTGTCGGAGGGACGAAGATATGCAGAACTCAGCTGTGAGACGCTTGCTGTATTTCTTCTCAGTCTCCTCGGGCCTGCGTCGGAACTCTTTGACAGCAAAGAGCTTTTCATTGCTGCCTCCGATTTTCTTGTGGGAGATTCGAACAATACCAAATGCACCACGTCCGACTACCTCTTGGCATTTGCCGTATTTTTCGACTAGAGTTGTCGTTGCATTGGGGCCGTTTCGCTTGTCACCAGCTTCATCTTTCTCCTGTTGTAGAGTGTCTACCCAGTTCGAGACAAGTGACAGGTCGTGTTCGGGCGTTTCCTCATGTTTCTTGCCAAGGAGTGCTCTCCACATATCCGAGAGCTTCTCTTGACGTCGGCTGGATCGTAGATGGTGTTCGTGGCCTCCTTGAAACTCTGGATCTAGAACGAAACGCTGGGAGGGCTCTTTACCGGCTGATTTCGTTGTAGGTTTGCTGGGAGTTGCGGCCTTGTCGGTGGGTTTTTGTGCTGGCTTGTCGCTACCCTTCTCAGTTGATGATGTCTTTCCTGCGGGTGTAGAGGTGCCATTCGTCGAGTTGGCTCGTGGGCGGCTGGGTAGGTCGACGGTCGAAGGGGCAGGCGTTGGGACTCTTGACGTATCCTTGGACGAGAACATGCGAGTGAGGCGATTTTTAACAGAAGTCTTGTCGGTAGGCTTCAGGTGGGTGTCTGAAGAAGGGTTTCCGTTGACAGCGGCCGCACCGTTGTGTGGTGTTAGACCGGGGGATTTCTTGACGCCATCCTGAGACTTGACCGATGATGGTTTTGAGCTCGTTGCAGAGGGTGGTTTTGAGGAACCTGATGCGGTGGGCATTTTTAAGGATGAAATAACGTCGGGCGTGAGTGTCTCGGGCGCTGGGGAGAGTTATTGAAGAGTCGACAAAGTATCGTGATAGTGGGATATGCGGCAACTTGGTGTGACACCAGACACGGGCGGTATCACAAGCACAAGGCGGGCGGACGTAAGAGAGCACGACTCGAGCAAGGTATTGTTGCGCGGCGGATTAGTCTAGAAGCAACGGTCTGCGGTGAGCGAACGACCGGAGCCAGCGTACGACAGTAAGCCAAGTGCCAGGTGACGGAGAGAAAAGCCGAACGCAGAGGAACGACTTTTAATAGTGCTTTTTTTCTTCGTTTTTTTTTTCTTTCTTTGAAAAGCGCAGCGCCGCTCAGAACAAGATTAACGAGCGAGCGAGCGAGCAAAAACAGGACAGTGGGGGATCTCTGAGCTGTCTTTGGGTCCTGATCTTGGCGTAGAGTGGGGACGAGGCAAAGCGCAAGTCGAGCGGCGGGCGACTGATGACTGTAAATGTACCGGATCGTAGATGGTGATAGTGGCTATCAAGAGCCAGTACCGTTGCAGTACCTTGCTTGGGAGTGGCGGTTTAGAAGTTGGCGTGACGCGATAGCAAGTACCGTACCGAAAGATGTCGGCAAAGAAACTGTTTCGAGAAAGAGGTGCCAGTACACTTAAAAGCCAAAAGTGAGGCAGTACAGATACAAAAGGAAAGTGCAATAAAAAGAGGTACTCGGAGGGGTCCTCAGTTACTGTACTATGGTCTCCTCTGGGTTTCTTGGCTGATGCTGGTGATGCCAATGCCAATGCCAAGACAGAGCGGATGCAGGTTCACGAACGGGCTGGACGTCGACTTGCAGCGAAACGCTAGGTATTGCCGTTGAATGGATGCAGTCAAGTACAGCACCGAACCCTGAGTCACAATGACAAAGTGAGAAGAGAGCAGAGCCGTGAAGAAGAGCCGTCAGGAGAAGCAACTGAGATTTTGTCTTAGTCGTTATTAGGAAGAAGGCGGTTTTCGAGGGCGCTGTCGCCCGTGCTGCAGTACCAGTGACAAAATATGGAAGAGGGGTGTGATCTACCTTTGTTATGACTGCCGTAAATAGAGCAGAACAAAACAAAGGATAGAGGGGCAAAGAGGAGGAGCAGAGGGAGAGGAGGGACGCAAGAGGTGAAAAGAGGAAAAATGTAGAGCAGAGCAGAGTAGAGCAATGGTGGAAGAAGAAAAAGGGAAGCGGGAATTTAAGACGAGGTGAGGGTTCTGAGTACAAGTACAGTACAGTACCGTAAGGCCACTGAAGGAGGGCCTCTAATGACCTAAGGCAGACAAAAGGCCAATGGCCACTAGGCTGGGCTGTGATGGAAGAAATAGCGACCCATATGAGCAATCAAATTTAACTGAGCTGTACTCGAAAGTACTTCATTAATCATGATGCTTAATATGCTTTTGCAGGTACCCGCGAGGTTAATTGAAGAAAATGCAGCACTAATTCCAATATAAAAAAAATACGCCGTTGCTCCAGTTTATTTGCTAGGGAGCACTTTTACAAGGAGCACTGCACTTACAAGGAGCATTCGGCCGTTTGCTCGCTACTACTAAAGTACTGCACAGTAATTATTACCTCCCGTCTTTTTAGTTGCTGGATGAATGGAGTAGGCGCACGGGCAAGGACATGAAAATTGCCGGGCAAGTAACTGAGATGGATGGATGTCTGCTACACGAGAAAACAGCATCGACCATACTGCCGGGGCTACGCCGACATCAGTTGGCCATGTATGGGTCGTATTGATAATGTTTTCCATATAGTTCCCATCTTTAGACTACGTCAGGTTTACCATCTGTCATTTTTGCACCAAAATCAGTTATCAAATCAGCATTTTCGGCAGATCCTCTTCAATATCATTCATTATGTACATACAGCACAAGGTCAAGGTCAAGGTGGGAAGTCTACTACTGCACGTACATGATGCTGGAGGGGTCAGAAGGACATGTTCAACTTCTACCTGGTGCTCCGAGAATTGATTGATCATCCAATCCGCTGTTTCGCTAATCCTCTTGTCACTTATTTATTTCCGAGTCAAGGGTTTTCTTGCGCCGCCTGTGCGAGCGAGCCCTGTACTGGCCCTGCCTTTACCCAAAAGGCCATCATGAAAGGAGGGGCCAATAGCGCTACTCCAAGGAGGGAGTAGTCATGATAGTGTCATGAGGTCGAGGTACTAGAGAGGGAACTCGCGACGACACTCAGACCCGCCCCGCAAAGTCTCTCCAGAGCTGTTTAAAGGTGGCATGGTACCTCAGACTGGGATTCATCACGCCCCGCCTGTCATCCAGCAAGGGCATACATGAAGTATGTTCAAGTATGGAGTACCCTCCGGTACTTTACCTAGTAGTCTAGGCCAGAGTCTTCGCCAAATATTGACGAGGGCCACAGACCTTCAATAGCCCAAGGAAATCCTTGACATGACATGCGTCGGCTACTCTTGCACTCATCCTCGAGAGAGAACAAAAAAAAAATCCCGTAAGCACATCAAGATTGAATCTTGTAAAGCAAGCACAAGGCGGTGACGTAGAGAAAGGAACCAATCCAGAATACCGAGGTGACCACCTGAATGTATGACGGCAGATCTGGGAACACAAAGCCGGCAAGCAGCGATCCGGTCCCCTGCAAAGATACGATAGAATCAATAGCAGCTCAATACGCTGTGCGGAGTCTGGACAACCCACATAACTGGGCATGGTGACTCTGTCTAGTGCCTCGGCCTTTAGTTATGCAATGCAATAGACAATCTGGGCAATGTAATGTCTTGCACTGCCATACCGAAAAGGAACAACAACAGAAAAAAGTTCTTTTCCCCAGCCGCGCCCAACGGTAAACTGCTGTACATATTGTAGAGTCTCGTTGTGATGGCTATGACGACGCGGCGGCGGCTGAGAGTATCCTCCGCCGGTCCCAAACCAAGTCAATTTTCCAATCCGTTCTTCGAGTAGTTCGGAGCCGCACTGCTTAGGCTTAGATGCCACAGTTCTATCCGACAGTACTGTACTGTACCACCAGTTTGGACGTTGGGAGGTTGACTAGCGCCAAGAGCTCCAGTTCAGAGAAGAGTTGAAGTAGGTAGACGTAGAGCAGCCATGCCATGCCACCCCAGTTGTTGATGCGGTGTGGTCGGTCTTTGTGGATACCTTAAGTTGGACTGACTGCTCCGTATCTCTTTAATATGTACTATGAGAAGCATCATAGGTGAACTTTGAGCGACGATTGGCTTATCGACACGGCAATAAAGAGTCTGCCTACCCGCCATAGGCTCAACAGCAGAGACAATATGCCGAGAACGTGTACAGTTTAGAGGCTGCATATACAGAGCCGTTGGTCACGCCCATACTTGGCACATCAATCTTCAAAGGGCTGGGTACAGCGGACATGAATACAGTGGCGTTTTGGGCCATACCCTTGGCCCTCTTTTTTGGGAAACTGTTGCCTCTAGTCTACTTATAGTAGACTACCCATCGACATGTGCCTTTATTTAGGCTGACCAAGCTATAACTTGTAAGTGCTTGGTAACTGACTGAGTTTCTGGTCTGTTCTGTTCGACTCTTCTGTACATTTGCGCTTCCCCGAGAGAACGTGGCATCAATCAGCAAATGTCATGATTCTTTGCAGTAAGTGGCGTTAGGATATGTTTTCTCGCAACAGTTGATGATTTGGATACCCTATCCTTGAACCTCGTGCCGACCCCAGCCTACTCCACTGACAGAAGTGCCAAGAAATGGCGCATGGCTGGGAAGAGATCCGGCTAGACAGGGATCTCGGAATTGTGGAGGAGGAAGAAGTAACAGATGTACATAGTACAGTATCTTTGAACTTGTTTATGGATGAAGACAGGTCTAGAACTGGATAGTGCCCTATCATCTGATTTCCTTGACAGATGTTGAGGGAAGACTCACCGGTAATCGAGCTGGAGTTCGAACTAGAGCTAGAACAATTGTATATATTTTAATCTCTGGAAGCTGAATTGTCTGCTGGGCTGGTCCACGTGCCAAGACATGAGTTCATGAGATCTAACCTCAATACCGTCCATCCTCGATCTCCATGAACTGGATGTATTGGTTGATCCATGGAATGATGGTAGGTCCATGTTTGCAATTCTCTTATTGCTAGTACGTATTCAGGTTGTAAAGAAGAAGAACCCAGAGCCTTTGATGCCCGGGAGAGTTTTTGCACAGACCTCGCCAAATGATGGCTGACAGGTCATTGGCTGGCCCTACAGCATTGGCAGTCGACACCCCTTGAAGAACCCTGCACTTATCATGATGACCATCATCTCGACTTTTGTCTTGACATTGAGTTCAACATCACGTTTTTTTGTGCTAGTCTTCAACAAGGTAATAAATAACATGCATGTATCGATGGCACTGAATGGAAGCAGTCAAAGGAATGCAACACAGCATTACTACCTGGTAGGTACCTTAGGAAGGTAGTACTTTCCCATAAGTTGAGGGTTCCTTCCTCATGCAAACGGGTCTTAGTGATTATGCAGTCAATTCACGGAAAGAAAGATCGTGCCAAATTGAGCACAGGGCACAGAGCTCCTTCCATCAATAGGTGATTTCCATTTGCTGAGCAGGTACTTCGCGCTTGAAATTCCAAGCAACAACTCTTGTTCTTTCCTGCTACCTCGCTATCCCGGGAGGAGGAATACGTGGTTTACCACTTGTGTCTCTGTGTCATCTATCAAGCCTGCAGTCGACTGGAGATACGATACACAACAGGCCAAGGAATTGCACAGATTCAATGTGAGTGAGAACGGAATATGTGTATTGACTACTGATCAATAGGCAAGTCTAGATCGCGGCCCGGTCCTGCGTTCTGCAATGCAGCCACTGGGCAATCATGGCCATCAATGCGTGTAATATCAGCGCCGTGGCTGATGAATTCAAGAAATCACCCACCACAAACAGAGCTAGAGAGAACTGGGGATTCCGATCCCGTCCCTTCCATCCTGTTGCACTATTGCGGTCCTCCCATAGAAGAAGAGATGAACAACGGCATTGTGTGATTGTATACTATGAGGCATTTCCATGCACCGACACAGGGCGCGATCAAGTGGCATGATCTGCTGATACCGTCGCTCTTGTCTCGTTTGGATCTTTGCCATCAAACATGTGCGCGCACATCTCTTTCTACTTCCATATATGTGTACAGTACTGTTCACGCATAACCTGAGCGGCACAGCCCCCGCCCATTTAACCCCCGAGATTACGGATACTTATTAGCGACCTGGGAGTCTTGTCACGACCCGCCAATGCTATAAACGAGCTAGCTCTGACAACGATTAACTTCTTTTGCAAGATTCGTTCGGGACGAGAGGCCTCCTGCGTAGTCGCAATTATGCCCGCAGTCAAAGGGTTAATTCAGCAAGGATTGTGTTCCCTACTGAAAGCCGAATCCAGTTCTCCATTGCTTCTTTCGACGTCGACCTGCTCCAACAAGGTACATAAGCAGTCAAAGTGATGTTTCAACACCAAGTTGGTAGAATCAATATGCCGATTTGTTCAAGTCGAGTTTGGTGTCCACCCAGTTTACTGGATTATGCATACGGTTCAACTGCTAGTTGAAACACCATTAAGCACAGACGATTTATATTTTAACTTCCATCTGACCTCAAGGCTTAATCGACGTGCTGCCAGGCAAGGGTTACTTCGACAGGGCACCGATCACAGGGATAAACGCTTTGTCTTTACCTGGCGTGAACCCTATCGCAAACAGAGACTCTCTATTCCGACTACCACAAAAACTATCGCATATGCACATTTGGGGACAGGACCTGGTGTCACGCAGAGCAAGCCAAAAATGGCAATGCATATGCCTCTTGGCCTCAGGGTGTAGCGGTTAAGAAGAATACTCGCAGGAGGCAAAAGTGCTCACCGCTTGACCCTCGTCTATCATATCTCAACATGTTGGTACAATGAAGATGTGGCACTCAAGATAAAGCTTGTGAAGCGTTATATGAGACATAATCTCAAGGTTACTTGAGCAGATCAGACATCACACCGTCTTCTTTCGATTGACAAGGGCTTTACCTGCACACACTAGATCTTACACACCGACAACAAAGCGTGTTCGCCTTATTTGCTCGTGGTCTATCACTGAAAGTTTACTGGTTCAACGCACGCATCAAAGTCCTAACACCCATCATCTCAACCCTGGTCCAGTTCCCGAAAGCTATCCCTGCGGCCCACACAAGCTACCTACCCACACAAGCTTATCGAGAATCTCATCTTGGCCCTACCCATGCCACACGCCCAATTGTGTCTCACGACAGCTCCTTGGTGGCCGCTGATCGCGACCGTCGTAGCCAGCGGCTGAGCTTGGATTGTATCCTTTATGTATAGTGACACTTTGAGCAACGGTTTCCACGTGGCGTCGGGTGTTCCTGGTGCCTCTATGTACAGTGGCACCCACATACATATGCACGAAAAGGGAGACGACCCGAGTTTTATATCCCGCCAGCGGGAGAGCCCCCGTTGCCGCGATTAGTCTCGACTTTTTTATGCTATTGTACATTGCTTTCGAGCGGAATATGTCGAGATGAGGATACCGTCTCAGACTAATCCTGGGCAATGCTTCTCTTCTTAGCCATGCTGACAGCGTATCATGCTTGATCTTGCGCCGGATGGGCTATCTACTGGTCGTGCTTGCTCAGAGTGCTTAGATGTGATGAACTCTGCAGGTTGGAGATGCAATGTTACCGGTTTCTGGTCTCAGCTCAACTTCAAGTCTTCAACTCGTTTGTAATCGACTTGTCAGTCGCACATATCTATCAGCGGCCGAGTATATGCGTAATTTGCGTTGTCAATAATGTACCCGATAGATGCGATACTTTGCCAAGCTCTTCTATGTACCTGTTACAATGATGGTGTGCTCAGTGTTTTTCCAATGGTATCCGTCGCTGTCGTTTCCACGTCCCTTCATAACGCCGCTGCCCCACACGTGCTTTCTACTTGCAGCTATACTACTAGAATACAAAATCATATCCTGAACTAGGCTTCATGCTCATCCTGTTGCTTGTCCGAAAGGCCCAGCTTGGATGACAGATGGCTGATCATAGAAGTCGAGTCTGCCGAGGGGGGCTCCTCTGGGTTTTGTGAGTGTTTGGTAGCGTCTTCCTTAACAAGCTCAGGAACTCCTTTCAGGTTCTCTGTATCCTGAACAAACTTGGTCAGATACACAGTTGGCCTTCGTGTAGAGACGTTCGGGTTAGAGGTAATGCTCTCTATCGCGGTTTCGTACGCCCGGTCATAGACGTTGAAGTCAACGGCTGATGGCGAGTCGCACACCATATCTGGAGTAGCCTCGTTGGACGCAAACTCATCCATGATTCCTGTACCGATACCAAGGAAAGGTCTGGTGCTCTCTTGTGTATCGACTTCTTCTACCGGCAGAGTCTCTTTTTCAATGCCAGACTTTTGCTTTTTAGTCTGAAAGTTGCGTCTTCGGGAGAGCAATGCCTCAATCACTTCAGCCTTGGCCTTCTCTTCCGACGCATCAAACGAGTCTCGGTCTGCCCTAGGTGTGCTGGTATTAGATCTGGCGCGATGTCTGACCAGAATTGACTTAAAGCGATGGATAACTTTCATTACACATAGAAGGTGATTCATCTTGCGGGTGAAGGCACGATTAACTTCCAGCTCATTAGGGGGCTCTACCATGTTGGCACAATTCTCCTCAGTAGACAGCAGGCAGTCTGTGCCTTGTTTAGTGACCCACGGATGCTCCTGATTAAAGGTTAGTTTCTTCATCTGAGTTTGACTGAGCATTCATCTTACTCGAAGTTTATCCATGGTGATGCGCTGCTCTGGATCTTTATTGAGGACTTTCTGCATAAGATCGATAAAATCTGGGTTCTCGTCTTCGGGAAGAGAAGGCTCGTCGGATCGGATAGCCTCGTACATGTCCAAAACGCCGTCGCGGTTGAAAGGAATGCGTCCGTACTTTAGACAATAGAGCGAAACTCCCATTGACCAGATGTCAGCAGCAGTACCAGAAACATCACCATGTTTACCGCAGAGTTCGGGGGGCAGAAAGGCGGGGGAGCCTGCGGACTTTGCTGTTCTCATGTTGTCTGGTTTCTCAAACATCTCGGAAACTCCAAAGTCAACCACCTTGAGCACGTCGTCATTGGACAACAGTAGATTATCCGGTTTGATATCTCTGTGGATGACACCCTGAGCATGCACTTTGGGGCACTAGATCAGTCTCTCTAATGAGCTTACAACGTTGGGACACGACTTACAGTACTCAATGGCCAATATCAAGTCTCGGAACCAGTAGCGACAGTTTTCCTCTGAATAAGGTTCAGCCTGTTCGTCTAGACCAACTTTCATCACGACACCCTTGCGACACATCTCAAGGACCATGTAAATGGAATCCTCCTCAGGGTCATCTAAGACCTCGTAAAGTTGGACAAGATTAGGGTGGTTGAGCTTCTTCATGATGGCAATTTCCTCCCGGATAAGGTGCAGCGCATCGTTGGTGTCATTGACGATCCGGGGAGCAGCGTTGAATGGCCCTCCAGCGCCAGGGCCCATGCGCCTCGGACCTCGAGGACCTTGCCTGAGGATGGTCGATTGAAGACGTTTTCTGAGGCGGGCTTTGGAAAACTCTTTGACGGCCTAAAGATGTGTAAGTCAGGAAACTTGTGGGATGTACTAGCTTTGTCGCTCACAAACTCATGGCCAAATTGGTCTTTGGCAAGATGGACTGCGCCATATGAGCCTCTCCCGATCTCCTCCAAGATGGTGTATTGATTCACTCGATGTTGAGAGACACCGTCAGCACTTTCGTCTCCAAACTGCGTTTGCGCATCAAGAGTTTCCTAGAGGCCCTGGTCAGCTGCGCGATGTCGGCTTAGGCCATGGCATTGGTTTCGCACCTTGACTTGACGATGAGCGCTGGGTGTTCGCTTGTGATGCCTGAGAGGGCTAGAGAAATGAAGAACCTCTGTTGGCTCTGTTCTGTTTGTCGGTGCCTTTGTCAGCTGGTCGAATGCAGGCTCTGTCTTGGGGTTGACTTACAGATGATGAGTGAGGGGCGGAGGAGGCATCTTGTCAGAGGCTTCATCATGCTCGTCAACTCTGACTTGAGGCGAAGGAAAGGTGAAGGAGGGCCTCATCTCTGGATGTTTCGCAGACTCGGGCGCATCCATATCGAATAGGTCACCCAGCAAAGGTAAAGGTCGCGATTTGATACCTAAGTTTGAAACGGATTGGATTGCCCCGCTCCCCCGCGATGAATTGGGCTTTGAATTCTACGTTGCTGTAAGATGTGCTGAAAGTATAAGATGATTGCAGTAATAAACAGTGACACTTATAGCACTATGTTAAATTGTTGTTAATGCCAAGTACAAATGATCGTGAAGGTGGAAGAAGGAAGGAATCTAAGCCTCTCTGTCTCCAGCTGTGAGCCTTGGCCCGCTTACAGTCAGCCCTGAGGCGCTAGAGATCTATGGCGGGGGGAGAGCTGCAGCTTCCAGGTCAGACAGCTCCTCGGATCCCAATATCAGTGGCTGTCTGCTCCGCCAAAACTTTGACTTTCACTGGGCAGATCAGCCACAGGGACTTGAGCCTCAGTGGATGACAGCTGCCCAGGCATGTAGGTAGGTACTCTCCATCAAGCAACCTAGGTAGGTACTAACCCGGGCAATCTATCGCATCGCATCGCATCGCATTCCGCTCACGTCGACTCTACCACTCAACCTAATAAGGTTACGACTCAATCCGGCGCATCCTTCTTTTAACAACTGCGGACAGTCCCTTTCTTTCTCACCGATTCATATGCGCAAAGCATCAATCCCATCGCCGCTCAACAACCTTACACGTCGACGTTGAACCCCTTGAACCGCCATCATGGTTGTTTACTCATTCCACATCTTCGACCGACACAGTAAACAACACTCTTATCCGACCATTCTGAGCCTCTCAGCTAACACCTGCCTCCTCTACAGCTGAGTGCGTCTACTCCAAGTCCTGGCTCCCATCGTCTGCAGGCTCCGAAACCGCCGCACCCACAACATCTGCCGACGACGCAAAGCTCCTCTTCGGAACTGTCTTCTCCCTACGCAACATGGTCCGCAAACTCGGCGGTGACGACGACGCATTCATCAGCTACCGTACAGCACAATACAAGCTTCACTTCTACGAGACGCCTGCCAACTTGAGATTCGTTATCTTGACCGATACAGCGACGTTGAGCATGCGCAACGTACTGCATCAAATTTACATAAACCTATGGGTTGAATACGGTATGTTCAATAATTTACACAATTGCTTGGTCAAACGCTCACCACTGCTTCAGTGGTCAAGAATCCCTTGGCACCTGTGGAACACAAGAAGGGCGAAGGCGTCAAGAATGAGCTTTTTGAACTCGGCCTCGATCAGTTTATCAGAGGCTTGATGTGAACACTACACATGGCCAGATCATTATTGAAACAAACCCTTTCCCGTCATTGACAAGAACACTGGGCAGCTCAAGGGAGGCTATCTGCCTTGTGAGTGAGTACCTGCGGACCAGAGATCATGCCCAAGTGTTTGAGGCCGCTCATTTCTGACGCCATCTCCCATGACGAGGAAGAGCCACATGCATTGGGCATCACGACCACATTTCCCGGCGTCAAGCAGAGGAAGAACTCGGTATAGTGCTGCTAGTCCACATCAAAATGGATCAACCATACTATGCAGCGTCAATAGGATAGGTATACGAGAGAGAGAAGACACTATACCCAACGCCAAACGGCATAAATATTACATGAGGTATCAAAAGCATCCCTCAAAATCAGCTACACTAAAACAACTCCCGCCTACGATATGTGTTTTGATTCAAATGCATCCCGATATTATGCTGGCCATTGGTATCCATACCCATCCATGTCCTTGTGATTCCCGTGATAATCCTGCCCATGACTCCACCGTGTCTTATGTAGCTGCACAACCAAGATACGCCTTACTATTTGCTATCCATTGCTCGTCCCCAAGCGCTCTCAAAGCCTCCTTGCGGATCTACCACGACCATGCTTGATTCACCCTGTGTCTGCGTTTGAGCTTGGGTCTGCGTCACTATGCCACTGGTTTGCGGAGCACCAAGGTCAACAGCGCTGGCCATGAGATCATCATCAGTGCGGATCTCTTGTTCCCAGTTGCTTGAGTACACGACAGCAGCAAAGGCCTCGAGATCGCGGACGGTTTCCATCTTCTGGAGATATTCATTTGGCATTCCGTCGCCAATAACGTGAGCTTGACGTGTCAAGACCGATAGGATTTTGGGCAGCAGGATCACCTTGGAGCGCTGTTGATCCTTGAGCTCAGGAGTGACAATACCATCTGAGGCTGGTAGCTCAAATGCCGCTGTGGCAAGCTTGTTATCAATCAGGTATGAAAAGCCTGCATCAAGAAGCAGTGTGAGAACATGTGTGAAGCTGGGTGACTCGATGAGATCGGCCGTCTCGTCAAGAAGACGTCTCAGGATTGCCTGCGACGCAGCTGGCGAGTGTTCGGCATCCCGGTTGGATGTTTCATCAAGGATGCCCGATTCTCTGATAACCTCGTCCTCCATGTCCCTGGGTGGGAGCAGGAAGTTGAGCCAGTCAGACTTCTGGCGCTCCTCGTTCGTGGAACCCTCAACAAGCTTCCTCACCTCCATTGTCAGCTCGGAGAACCTCTCGAAGCTCAGGAGGTCTCTTGGGCTGAGGCTACCAAAGACGGTGCGCACAGCGCTTTCAACTCGGTGCATGAGGTCCTTCCATCCCTTGTTGAGCAACCACCAACTAAAGGTCAGGTACTTGCGGTTTATGTCGAAGTCACTGCCATATGCCTGTTCTGTGTTGTCATCATCGTTATTCTCAAGACTGATGGTGCCGTGTTGGCCGCCTGTTGCAAGAGCCACCACACTCGATAAGTAACTTCGTCGGCCCAATAAGTTGAGTTGGACCCGAGTTAGCATTGTTAACAATGCAAGTGTATATATCAAAGTGAATGATCGCGTCACAGCTGTTTGGCGTATCAGTGAACTGAAATCCGAACGACAAGAACATTACTCACCACTAATGGTCACGTCATCCCATAGTTGTCGCTTCGTCTTACGTAGCTTTGGGACCTCCTTATTCGCCTCACCACCGGCATTGAATGGTGAAGACGTGGGGATCTGACTGGGGTGCACACCGCTCTCGCTCTGGCTTGCGCTCTTTCCGTCCTCCTCTGTCAATGTAGTGTCGGCGATGCTGGGTGGCGCGGCGGACTCGTTACCGCCATTCTTTACAGCCTTTGTGGCTTTCATCTGCTGGATCTCGAATGTGATCTGTTCCGTGTTCATGGCCTCGAGAATGGCGGTCGTCGCGGATGGTAGAAGAGCCAGGACAGTGAATGTGCAGTCCTCTTGATTCTGTTCGAAACGGCGTCGTAAGCTTTGGGAAAATGTCAGCATATAATGATCTCGGCTTCTGTCGACCTCAATAGAGCTTACTTCTCCTTGGCGATACGATCACTGCTCATGCGCTCGCGAGCATCGTTAAGCTTCCCAATAACATATTGAGTCGCGACATATCCAGCACCGATGACGCCCACGCCAACAGCAATGGGAGTCCGGTTGTTGCGCAGCCAGCGCCGAGCGGATGTGAGCATGTTATATAGATGGTGGTTGTAATGGAGGAGGATTCGCGACGAGGTAATGATGATGATCCGATGGCTCAATTGCTCATGTAGCTGTAGCTGGGACTGTCTGTAGGTGTATCGAGGTTCGCCTAGGTAAAAGGGGTGCTATGTGGACATGTGAACGGTAGGATGGCCGTTGGGAGTTGGTTGGTGTACTAAGGGAAAAAAAGGTTCGGGATGATACCATGCACAATCGAATCAATCAATCACAATATGAGCCTCGGCCCCGGATCTGGAGGCTTAATCAAGGGTAAGATAGGATTAGCAGGTCCCCGTGTTCGGTGGTCGGCTTCGGCAGACAGGACCGATGTGGAGGCAGATATGGATAGGACATGTGGCTTCCTGTGGCTGTGCAGTAGAGAGACGGGAGATAGATAGGTAGGTACTGTAAAGTAAAGCACGGGGTAAGTGGAGACTAAAGACTAAAGCGATCCCATGCCCCTCCCTGATGGCTTAGTGACGTTGTTTGGGAAGTCATTATCTAAGATTAGTCTAGCCGTCCACTCGCTGCGCTGCGATATCTAACTCAACATCTCCATCTCAACTTCTTTCATCTACATCAATCATGCTCGTAGCGCATAATCAAGTACACGACACCTCAAGCAACATGGACTCACAAGAGCCACCAGAGTTTATTCTCGACGTTTTTGCTGATCCGCGCTCTGTTCGCGACGTCGTTAAAGGTTAGTCTTTCTCGTCTCCTGATCGTCATCCTACCCTGGACAAAGCACCCCGCTATCATCGTGACAACCTTAACAACAACAACGAATTACCATGATGGACTCGCTTTAACACGTTTTCTATAGGTATACTCCATACTATATTCTTCCACCGGTTCTTCCCTTCCCTAGTCCCACAAACCCGTGAGGTCCTGGATCTTACCCTCCCCTATGTCGATGACAATGAGCTCGAGACCATGATAGAGCAGCGCGTCGCCGCCCTCGAGCGGCAGATAGACACACAGCGCTCATCTGGAGGTTCAAGCAATGCTGCTGGTGGTAGCGCGACTGGCGGGCGCGAACAACTTGTTGTGCAGTTCTTTGAGAAGCGCCGGCGCAAGGCCTGGTTATCTCGTGGAGACGAAGAGGTTTGCTGGGAATGTTGGACGATTAAAGTAACCGTCGCCGAGCCTAGAACTGAAAGCGGTACGACTCAGGACATGTCTTTATTCTGTGAGGATATCACTGACAACGATAAAGAGCGAGCTAAAGTCCGACGCGCAATGGAACAGACCCTTCTAACAACGGCGATGAAGATTGTCACGTTCGCAAACACGCATAAAGACCACATTCCGCCTATCACCACCCAAGGCACCAACCCATTCCCCTATAAGATTAACCTCGACCAGAAGGAAGCAACAGGGTGGGCAACACGAATGCGCATATATTAGAAGAACTTGTGGAATAAGCTAGGATGGGGGCTTCGATCTCTCTTAGTGATGTCCCAATCATCAACTTCTGTAGGGCCAGCTGGCCTCTCGAGGATCACACTGGTAACTCACTTGAGTCGAGAGATACTCGCCTGACTAGCCGTGAAGAGCCCGCTCATCCAAGACATGGCAGTGGATATATGTTTAGACTTGAGGCGTTTTTGGAGTTTTGTATAAGCGGTTAGATCTAGTCGTAATTGATACCCCTTCATATAATTCCCAGCTTGGCTGGCAAATCGTCTTGAAGTGTGTCGCTGGCAACGTTCGTGAAGACCACACCTAGCTGTCAGCCTTGCACGCCATGCAATAACAAGACACGGCGGCAGACCAGTCCGGACACTCAAAGGTATTCATTCTTGACAAGAAAGACGAGGGGTGTGTACACAGGAATGTTCAAGGCATGGCGCGGACAAGGCAGCTTCAAAATACTAATAGTGAGTCAATGTATGATAGTTATCGTATGTGGTCAAATGTCCTGACCGTGCCTATCCGTTCCCAAGCTAAGCTTTCCCAAACCAAATAACATGTATCAAAAGGCGCGAACATACAAGGTGTACGCAATTCCTACCATCAGTCCACTAGAGAACCGTCCAACCAACACCGCGCAGGGCTACATAATGTGATGTAAAAGAGTAAAAGCCAGAGCATAATCCATTAACGCACTTAAACACAGATCCCAAAAATGCCTGTTCCGCAACCAAAGCCTTGAGAGCAAGTACAACACGCTCCAAAGTCATTACCGTCGTCAACCGCTAGCTGTGAAGCTAATCCGAGCACTCAGCATAAACCAAGTCTCGCTGTTCTAGTCCATACCGAACACAACCCAACATCTCTGATATAGTTGGGCGTAGACCAGGCCGCCTTCCGAGAAATTGCTTGTGTTGTCTTCTTTCGTCAAATCGTGAATGTCATGCATAATTATGCTTATTTCGTCGTCTTGCCACGTTCGTTTTTAATAAAATCGTCTTCGTCTTAAAATTGGGTCGAAAAGCTTCGGGGTAGTCCGGGCTTGTTGCTCCTCGATGTGTTGTTCTTGTTTGCCTGTGATGTCGAGCCAATCTTGTCAAACCCCTTGAAAATGTCGAAACTGGACATGTCGGTGGAAACACCACCAGGGCTAGGGGGCACAAAGTCCAGTTGGCCTAGAAGAGCCGAGGATGCCCAGTCACTGCTGTCCAAATTGACATTGAGGAAGTTGGCGAATTTGGAGGGTGATTGGTTGTTTCGGATAGGCGATTCCTGGAACATCTTGCTAGGCGAACTCAGGCCTTCAAACGCTTTGCTCGGCGTATCGTATTGAAGAGACTGCTCGGGGGGTCTCAGAAGAGGCGCGGAAGCAATAGGCTTCTTGGTCGCCGAGTTGGTGATATCACCTAGAACCGACGCAGATACGGTGCGATCAAAACGAGCGCGTTTGACTGAGCGCTTGATGGGAGATCCAGCATCCACTGAGCTCATGGCAGCGAATGCAGCATCATCAATACCGTCAAATCCAGCGAGATCTTGACTGATGGTAAAATCCGCGTCACTCAGAATAGAAGCGCCGTAAATTGACTGGTAGACATCCGTGCCCAGATCGAAAGCAGGGCTGTAAGGTGTAAGCTCAGAGTTACCCCCAACCTTGCGCTCGGGCGACTGGAGCAGGTTTCGCATTCTGTCGCGGTGAAGTCGAAGATTGGTGTTAGGGGACGCTGATGGGGGAGGACGCGGCGGAGGGTTAAGCTTGACCATGGGCGTAATTGGTGGCAGCATCTGTTTCTCGTAGGCTGGTCGCAGAGGCGACGAAGAGACTGGTGGCATGACTGAGTGATACCGTGTCTTGCTTGGGCTGAAAGGCGAAGAGTTTCGGAGACGGGCAATCTCTTCCTCGGCTCGACCCCTTGACTTGTTTCGTGGTCGATCAGCTTCCGATGTGAGCATAAACTTCTGGCTGGGTCGGATGGCCGAAGATTCGAGGGAAGAGATGTATCCACTATCATCCATGGATGCAACTTTGCGCCTATGGGATCGTGAGACGGACGAAGCCAAGTTTCGGGCAAGCGGAGGGGGTGTATTGCTCTGGTGATCCACATGGCGGGAGACAGGCGGTGACGAATGCATAGCGGCAGGTAGTGGCGAGTAGAGATAGGAATCGAGAGAAACGTCGTGCTCAACCTTGTCCACGACATCTTCGGGGCCAATGTTATCGGAGACGGGAATTGTAGCATCGGACGAGAGATCCACGGGCATCGACATGGTGGCCTGAGAAGTTGGAAGGGGCGGTAGAGCGGACTGACTGACGGGCACGGGGGGAGGTAGCGTGGGCTCCTGTGTCGGCGCAGAAGCCGGACGAGAGGGCTCGAGGCGAGTCGAAATAACGTGGAGGCTGTCTGAGCCAGAGGCGGATTTGCGAGTCGGCTTCTTGTTCAAGTATTGCGCTTCGTAGCCAGGCTTGATCACCCAGTAGTGGCCCTTGCCAGGGTCGTCTTTGGGTCTCTCGACTTTCATGAAGGCCTTCTGTAGACTGAGGTTGTGTCGAATGCTGTTCTGCCAGCCGGCGTCGGTAGGACTGTAAAAGGAGAAGTTGTCGCTGATCCAATTGTAAATCTGGGAGAGCGTGAGCTTTCGATTGGGAGATCGGAAGATAGCCATGGCGATCAAGTCGGCGTAACTGAAAGCAGGCTTGCTGCCGTCGTCGACAATAGGAGGGAAGGAGTCGTGAGGAGGAACAACTGTCGCGTCCATCGCGGTTTCCACTGGCGCAGTCATTGGCTCGGATTTTATCTTCTTGGCGGATCTGGAATCTTTAATGGGAGCAGCCTCCATCAGAGCGCGCTTGCCGTTTGGTTTTTGATAGTAGTTCTCGACTGACATGTCAATGGCAGGAGGTGCTGGGAAAATTTGTGGGTGGACGTTCTCTTTACCAAAGTCCCAGCCCATGTCGAGGACGTGCTTCTGGGGACCCGTCTTAAAATTCGACAGGTAAGGCTTCTTTTGCAGGGAATCCGTGGTGTGACCTCGTCTTGATGGAGGCGCCATGGGGACCATGTTTAATTTGTTGCCTTGGGAAGTTGTCAAAGGTATTTGCGACGCGGAAGCAGGTCTCTGCTTAAAGGGAGAGTGCACATTGTGCGAGGCGGTGGGCGGGTTGAAGACGACGTTTGAGGATGAGCTAGTCAGGGGCCTTCGGCCTTGCTTCGAGACTGAAGGCATAGGAGCGTGACTGGTCATGGGTGTAGCATTCTCGTCTTGATATATTTGCAATGGCCCAGAAGAACTGGGAAAACGCGTGTGTTTGCCCATAGTGGTGGGAGCGAAAAGCTCAATATGGGGGCAGTCGCGCGGTGAGGTAGAGCAAAAAAAGGTCGAACCAAACGTGGGACTTTTAATGGAGGTTAGTAAGTAGATACCGGCCGGGGACGGGAAGTGGAAGGGGATGACGGTAAGATAACGGCGAAGGTGGGAATAAATGAGTGGACACCGGCAGAGACTAATGGGAAGAGTGCATGACGAGACGAGACGGTAAAGGAAGGGAAGACAAGGGAAGAAAAAGGTCAGAAAGGACTTTAGCAACTCACAAGGATATGCTGGACGGACCGTGAAGTTCAAGGTAGTAATGAGAGCAGTGGGGCCTGCCTGGACAGGGCTGTCGTGGGTTGGTCTGGGCGCTCAATAGGACAAGCAGCCGGTATTGGTTTTGGTGTAGTATCTGGGGTTCACGGTTCACGGTCTCTGAGAAAGTGGTTCGAATATAGAAGCGAGGTTAGGCGGTCGAGGCGTATATGTCCAAGTCGCGTCGACGAAAGATTATGAACAGCGCAAAGCGGCTTCAGAATATACTCGAGATAGTTGCGAAGCTGGCCAACGCCATGTACAGTAAGAGGTGAGAAGTAGCAGTAGCAAGCGGCGCCGTGAATCAAACAAGGGCGGAGTCGGAATCGGAATGCGATAGAATGCGTACAGCGAGTGGGTAGGTTGGTTATTACTCTTACTCTTTAGGCGAGAACAGACGTCGATTAATCGAAGAAGAAAAGAAGAAGCAATAGAATAAATGGGCTTGCGAATATGCGGGAGGAGTTATGTAGAAGGGTAAGAGTGAGGGTGAGGGTGAGAAGTAAGTGAGAGTAGGTAAGGTGAGGAGAAGAGAGCAGAGAGATGATTGAAGATGCAGATGATGCAGCCAAGCAAAGTGAGGTGAGGTGAGTTTGGTACCTAGACCCAGGCCACACCGGGCAGTCCAGGCAAGAAAAGGCCCTATGAAAGGGCTAGTGGTAGTGGCAGTTGGCAGCTGGCAGCAGCTGGCGGGCGGAGGCGTCCTGTATTTGCCCACTACCTACACTGTAGCTGTAGCAGTAGCGTCTGGCCGCAGTGTGTGCGGCCTAGGAGTGGAGACTCTCAAGACTGGGCGCAGGGAGGATGATGAGAACAGAACGGTCCAGTGAACAGGGATTGGATGGAGAGCGTCCGGGCTGACACGACACGCCGAGGAGCAGCCAAAGAGGGGGCTCTGCGTGAGCACTGTCTCTCTTTTGCCTTGATAGTATAAGATTGAGTTGAGTTCAAATCAGTCAGTCAAGCGGACAAAGCGAGACGATACTGATGTCATGGGGGTTTTAATTTCGGATGAGAGCAATGCAACGCAATGAAATATCATGAAATAAAAAGAGAAAAAGGATGAGAGGATGAGATCAAGACGAGGAGGGGAAGACAGCTCAGGACAGGACAGAGAGATGTCGAGATGCACAACGATAGGACAGGATACAGCACGATAACCAGCAGATGGTAGGGAGTGTGCAGCATAAAAGCGAGGGTGTGCTGTTACGTGTTTCGGGAATGGGCGATTGATTGAAGTGAAAAAAGAGCCTGAGCCGACCAAAGGAAGGTCCCAAGATGGTGCTTGAACTGGTAGAGGCTCGCGAGGTGTGGGTCGAAGGGAGATCTAGGGGCGTGTGGCGCGTGAAATCTACAGGGGTCCAACCTGCTGCACTGCACTGCGATGCACTGTACCGTACTGTACTGTACCTAACTGTAACGCTACCGTCCACCACCTCAAGCGAAGCGAAGCGCCCTTATCCTCGGTCTTGGACGCGCGCGTTCAATCCAGAGCTTTGATTGGCCTAGGACACTCAAAGAGGTTCTCAAGATATGAATGAAACTGGCTGAATTGGATGCGGGGGATTGGATTGGATGGGAAAGAGACAAAGAAAGAGACTCTCAATAAGAAAAGCCTCGTTTCTTCAAAGTCAGCCAAACACATAAGTCGGCTTCATGATGAGACACGGGACACGAGACATTCACTCCGTCAAAAAAAATTTTTTTGAGTGAGTGAGAGAAATGGAGGTTAAATGACTTTTCTCCTCAGACTTATGCGACCACTTGTTCAGCCGGTCAGGCTACTGTAGCTATTCACAATCACGGCCCTATTTTGAAGAGAGTGTTTGGGCCTGATTCTGGCACCACATTAGGTCTATTCTTTTTTATTTACGGGCTGCATATTGTGCTGTACCTACTGTATGTAGGGTAAAGATAGTGGGGATACCCATCCATGGCACCAACGCCAACAGATCTCGATCTTTTTTGCTCTAATCGTCCTGCACTCCAGGATTATCCTCCCTTGCTCCGTATTTACCAGCTACTGTATTATAACCGCGCAGTAGTGCCATGTTTCTACTCTGTTCCGTTCCGTTTGCTCCGACAAGTAATTACAGGACAGGACAGGACAGGACAGGACAGAAAGTGGTGCTTCCCAAGATTTGCAGATGAGATCCATGAGATGAGATGAGATGGGCTGCAATGCAAGAGAATATGCTGTACTTTTGCTGTACGCTGATGCTTCCAGATCAGATACTGGGATTGTGTTTTTGGTGCCGATCATAGGTTAGGTACCTCTACCTTGGATGCGAAGTCTATAAGCCGGACATCCATGGGGGTTGCAGTACGGATACATGCCTACAAGATGAACTCCCTTTGATATCCGTTTTACTTTTTTTTGCCCATCTTTATTAAAAACTGTTTCTGTCTTGTCAAATATCACATACATAGGTAGCCCTGGATTGACGTTTGACAGCTGCTGCAAAGAAAAGTAAACAGAGCAAGCGACAAGAGATAAACGAGAACGCCAATGACCTTGACCCATGCTATACCTTAACCAGACCAACAGCCAGCCACAATTCAATAACTTAGTAACCATGATCAATCAGGATCTAGAAAGACCAGACGTCTTTAACAAACAGTTTTCAGGACGCCTCTTTTTCTTCATAAACGTGTTCTTTTCCCCTCTACTGTACACATCAATATCCCTCATTTTGTATCCGTATTCTGTACTGTACTGTGCAGTAACCCTACAAGCATAAACTCCCGCCAGGGTATCCGTAGAATGTAACGGGAGATGATCATGGAGGATAAGCCATAGCCATAATCATAGCCCTCCCACCCCCGCTCGAACCGATTGTTCTCAACAAGGATCCTTAAATAACGATTGGTCAGATTGGGAATGCTTGCTTGGCAAAATCAAGGCAGTCAAAGGTCAAGGAAGAACCGTTTTTTGACTGGACTCTTTGGTAAAACGGCCGCCAGAAAGACAAAGAAAAAGGTGTGCAGAGAAGAGAATCGAGACCAGGGTCAAGGTAGGGTCAGGTCAGGTCAGAATAGACCAGGTCAGACCAGGTCAGACCAGGTCAAGCAAGGTCAGTGCGTCGAGTTTCCATTCTTTGATCTCTTTGTCCTGTTTCTAAACTCAAGAGTGTGGGTGGGATTGAATGTATGAAAGCGTATGGCCTCGTCCATGTCCATGTCCATGTCCATGATCTACCTACTGATCGACTTTCAAAGTGGTCACGCCTTTTGGCCAGGCCACGTCGTACATCTTTTTGTTTAGATTGTAGTTGATGATAACCAATCAAGTCTGACCAACCTCAGGGGTTTGTTGCATGAAAAGAAGAAATAGAGTGCGTCTCAGAATTGCTGTTTAAACTATGTATCCGTAGAGTAGAGTAGTTTGAGAGCTGTACGTACAGTAGACTGTAGGAGTTTCCCCGCACCATCCTTTCGTCATGCAATGCTCATTGTGTCGTCTACTTCTTCCAATTACTGTAATAAACAGGAACAATGGATCTAGTCTAATTAGGAACTGGAATCAACTAATGGGGCTCAACAAAAGAGGACCGACTACGGATACTCACTACTCCCACATGCTAATTAGAATCTAGTCTCCCTTGCATGTGAAGGGTTCGGTTACAGCAGACATTGAGTTTTGGTATTGGCTTTCTTAGACTGACTCAATCGAGGCTGAATACATAAGATACCAGTATCAAAAAGCAAGCAAGCAAGCCATGTGCCAATCCTACTAACCATAATCATAATCTATCCGATCCGATTCCGTAATACGAACGAACCCCTCTTTCTCCCTTTATTTGAGTTTCATTGTCCTACTAAGAACGACTGCACTCTGCCTGCAGCAGCAATTGGATCTTGATAATTTCGGGGACTTCGGGGGTTCAAGACATCCATACTCCAGTTTGAAGATCAAAAGTAAACAAACAATTGGTCAGACTCGACCACATTTACCGTAGACTATGTTTTGGTTGAGGCAGAGTCTATTGCCATGATGTTAATCTATGCAGCCACATGGTAAACACACTTCCGTATAGCCCTTTCTAGTAAAAAACTTGCAGTAAAACCAACAGGGTCCTGCTGGGAAAGAGAGAAATAGGGCAAAAGAAAAAAAAAGAAAAAAAAAAGGTCGATAACCGAAAAAAGAGACAAACCCGCCTCAAGTGTAACCAAGATTTATTATGGTGGATGGCCTAGCACAGTTCCAGTCTAGAGTTGATCAGTAGTTGATGATCCTTGCCCCATCGTCGGATAGATCATTCAAGTTTCAGCTGTCAATGGTTTCCATCTTACCTGCAGTTGATACTGTACGGTATCCGTACAGTGAAAGAGTGAAATATGGCGCAGCACATCTCGGCTCAAAGGAGGGGAAAAACCTGGGATAATCCATGTCAAGAATTACATAGTAGTAGGTATACTGTGCATTGAGGCGTCATCATGATAAAGCCACAGAGTGCGGATAGCCGTAGAGTTACTCTCGTTCGTATCCGAAGGAAGCTTACGACGCGTTTCTCCTCACGCGTTTCCAAAAAGTCAAGATGACTACATTATTTACTCATTACCTCTTTGGGTAAAAACCTAACAAACTCTCCTCTATTCTCCAACCTCTTTTTTGACTTCATCCACCAAAAGGAATGATAGAGAGTATCTAATGCAACCCAATATGCGACCTTTTTCCAGCTGACTTTTATGAATGAATGAATGATCTGACCTGATCTGTTATCATCGTCGTCATCAATTTAATTAAAATCACATACAGTTACTTTGACCGCTCTTTTGTCTATACTCTCTCTCCCTTCTATCGGATTATACTCCGTCGCCTCGCAAGATATGACCCAAACTTAACTTTTTAGTATGTATCAGGCTTGAGTGGAATCGAATCAAATCTATCCCTGGAATGGAATCCATAATGGTCCCGTCTCTTAATTCTCTCCGTCTATTACTGTACTGTGGCCTGGTCCAAGGTGACATCATGACCGCTGTCAGTGTTAATCCTGGCTCATCCTCTTTTGTGTGATTGATTCCTTTAAAAAGAAGCTGATCAAGGTCTCGTGCTCCATGTTCAATTAAACTAGTATCCACATCGAACACGCTCCACGAAGCTATTCGCTCCAGCTTCCATATCCTAGCACCTCCAAGAGTCAAGGGTCAGGGCCAGGACCAGGCCAGGCCAGGCCATTCTTCTTCTTCTTCTTTTTTTTTTCTCCGCACATTCACAATTCACATTCCTCCAAGCAAGGGCTTTAAATGCTTTCTGATATTGGCATTCGGGAAAGGATTGTTGCCTTGTTGGATAAATGGATCCAAGTATTGGAAGCAAAGATAGATGAAACATAAATCCAGGGGTGGTAAAAGTTAAAGATCCAGAACAGAAACCACATAGCAGGTAATATCATATTGGCCGTTTTTGCATAATAGTACAGACCTATTAATCTTGCACAATCAGGTTTCTCCAAAAGTAAAGACCGTTCTTGAAACTTTGACAACTCATCCCGTCTAGTTCCCCCAGAGTTAGACTACATACTAAGTTGCCTTAGTTAGAGATTGGTCCTGTCCTGTGCATTGAGGCCAGACAGATGCTCAAGGTTGATCTGAGCTTTTCATCCAGTCAGACGTTCGATTCTCTCTTTTTTCTTTGCTTCAAAGGACTGTGTCCGTGTGTTTCGAGAAACCAAGATCCACCCGTATAATTCTGACCCTGCCTATCGTGGAGTTTCTCTGAATACAGGCCATTTATCCCTGCGTATATCGGACACTCCGTTGGGTATATTCGGTACATATCCCAATACAGTGACTTAGTCCAGCACTTCCATAGCTGATAGCATCCCCCCCCTGCCCTCTTAGCCTTTAGTCTTCTTGACCAAGCTTCCGGCATATCTCGGCCCCATCTCCGGCAGACGGTCTGCTGGTGCTGTAACAGCACTATCCTACCCATCCCCAGTGGCCCGCCTAGATCTCTCTAACTCTACGGGCTGTAATTTCTATGCATTCACCACTAACACATCTCATTAATACCCTCCTCAAAGGCATAGCTCAACCCGACTCGTAAGGAATGACAAACATCCTCGACAAGTAGAACACAGCCTCGGCTCTCTGACGTGCCGTGTCTGACTGAATTCTGACCTTGTACATCCTTGCACTTCTCGTCTAATCCCGACTTTTCCATGTTTCATTTAGATTGACATGTCCACTTGCACCACCTTTCTCATCACCATCTCGCCATCTCGTCTGCTTAGCATGCTCAGCATGCCTCTCGTGAATTGCCACTGAAATGCTTCCTTCTAGTTTCCCTTAGTGATCAAGCTTGAATGACAAAAGTTCAACTTCAAAAAGCTTGGGCAAAGCTGAGACCACTTTCGTAATGCCCTCTAGTATGTCCCTATATAGTGCAAACCCTGACGGCAATGACCGAAGTAACTTGAGACTTTACTGAGACCGTTTCAACGCCAACGTATTACGATCTCAGCCATATGTAGTCACCGATGTCGATCGGAGCACGAAACTGGATCACCATTATCGTGAAGCGGCATCGTGCTTTACCTTGTGGCTTCACAGCATAACTCGCAACGTTCCTCCACATAGCACGTCTCGCCTCGGACAGGACAAGGTCTTCCGCCATGTCATGTCATGTCACAATGGCAATACCGAAAAGAGTCAGGGCCACGATGTAATCGTATTCCAAACTACTAACATTATCAACTACCTAATAGCTATACGCCTCACACAAAATACCATCCTTTGCTCAACGTCACACCTGCCCCGGGTCCCACCTCATCATCAGCAGCAGTCCGCTTACTTCTCCAATTGATGCTCGCAAAATCACTATTCCAAAACTCGTCCGGCGACCGCGGCTGCGCTGCTGTCTTTGGTTTTGGTCTTCTTGAGAGACCTGCCCATCTGGATCTCGCTCAGGAACCCAGCGGGTCGACCACCACCGGAAGGAGGAGCAGGCGCATCGCCGGGAGGTGGTGGAGGAGGAGGAGCGCCGCCCATAGGAGGGGGAGGAGGAGGGGGTGCACCAGCTGATGGCATCGGGGGTGGTGGAGGTGGCGGAGCCGAAGGGGCGTCGCTTCCGGGCATGGGAGGTGGCGGAGGAGGAGCACTGGGCGTATCACTGCTGGGCATCGGTGGAGGAGGCGGAGGAGGTGGAGGTGAAGATACCGGAGCTCCACCGTCGTCGTTCGGCGCCGGAGGGGCGGGAGGAGGCGTGCTAGCCCAAGCAGAAGTCTGAGCAGGACTGTTCGTTGCCGATTCTCTACCCGCTGCTGACAGAGGACGAGGAGGTGCCATGGTGCCGAACAGCATAGAGGCCAGCTGGGCTGCACTTCCACCACCAGGTCGCTCGTCGTCGGAATCGTCGTCCTTATCGTCGTTGTCAGAGCCCCAATCGTCCGTGTCTGCACGGCGGCGAGAAACCGGAGCAGAGGGAGGCCTGGCCTCTTGGTTCTGTGTCATCCTATGGAAGGGGTTTGTGGCCGAAGGTGCTGGCGCAGCAGGCGCTGGAGAAGTAGCAGCCGGTGCACTCTCGTTTGACTGAGACATCATCCTGAAGAATGGGTTCTTACTCTCAGTCTCGCTAGGTGGCGATGTAATGACTGTCGGGGGAGGAGGAGATGAAACAGCCTCAGCAGGCGGCGGTGAGGCCTTCTTGTCCTCCTCCTGACTAGCCACTTGGCTGTCGCTTCTTGTAGGCGTGGAAGCCTGAGGAGTGATCTGCTGAGGACCTTCATCCTCATCAGATGAACTATCATCATCTTCCATAGACTCAAGCTGACGTTGAAGTTCAAGCTCACGCTGGCGGGCAGCCTCAATCTCAGCCCGTCTAGCAGCAAGCTTTGCCTCCTTGTCCTTAGCCTCGGCCATGGCAGCCTTCTTTCGCTTCTTCTCTTCTTCCTTACGGAGCTTGCCTTGCTTCACTTGCTCCTCCAGTGCCTTGAGACGGGCTTCAGAAGCCTCCCGTTCCTTAGCAAGGTCGTCCTCCTGTTCCTTTGCATCTTCCCTGTGAAATAGTTAGTATTGTGATCATATGCTTCTGGTGTAGCACTTACTCCATCCTTTGTGTCTCGCGCTGTTGCTCCTCGTGCTTGGCAGCAAGTCTCTCCTCCTCAGCCTGCTTGGCAGCAGCTTCCTCATTAGCCTTCTTTGAAGCCTCTTGGTCGGCCTCAGGCTTGCCACGGTGTCTGGTTGGTGGAGGAGGAGGTTGCTTCTTGCCCTCAGCCTTGGACTGTTCAGCAGGAGGAGGGGGACCTCCCTGCTCCTCAGCAAGACGAGCTTGACGATCAGCCTCCCTACGGGCATCTTCCTCCTCGGCCTGTCGTAGTTTCGCAGCTCGCTCAGCTCGCTCGCGCTCCATACGCTGGGCAGCTGTTTCACCGGCCTTTGTGGGAGCCTTGATTCCTAGAGCAGCCAATCTCTCAGCCATACGTTGCTCAGCCTGCTGCTTGATGAAAGCGGCTCGCTCCTCAGGAGTCTTGTAAGCGGAGTACGATCCTCCAGTGGGCGTGGAAGTACGCGAGGTCGAGACAGGCTCCTCTACTCGGGGACTGGCGACACGTTCTGGTCGAGGCTCCTCGCTGCGAGCAGAGCTTCTGGCAGGCCGCTTGTCTTGGGCACGAACACGAGCACTGCGGCTTTCACGCTGGAGATCGAAGATGAAGTCGCGAACTTCATCCTCTACTCCAAGTGCATCCTCCCAGCGGCGCTTCTCATGCTCACTAGTGTTGTCACGACCGCCCTCCTTCAGGCTGTCCTCGATGCCACGGGCGAAGTCTCGAACGCTCTCCTCAACATCACGGACCATGCGCTCGTTACTCTCCTTTTCGTTCTTGACCTTGATACTCTCCTCCTCAAGTCGTTTGGGCGCATCGACGTCCTCAGTACCAACGTCGACCTTCTTGCCGGTCAGAGCAGCAGTTCGTTGCTGCATCATGGCCTTGGCTCTAGCCTTGAGACGATCTGACTCTGTTACAGTACCGCCAGGTCCGGTTCCAACAATAGGAGCACCGCTATTAGGATGGGCCTTGGCATCTTTGATACGGAAGAGTTCCAGTCTAGCGTCCATGATAGCCTTCTCAGTTCTTCTTACCTGAGAAGCAAGCTCGGGAACCTTATCAGTGAGGTTCTGGAGCTGGCGCTTAAGAGTTCGTCGCTCAGCCTCAGAATCTCCGCTTGCCAGGGCGGCGTCAGGGTGAGAATCAATGTCCTCTTGAATGCGACGAATGCGGCGATAAAGCTCGTCGGCCTCACGTCGGTCACGGCGATCGAGAATGTCATCCTCCTCAAGGTTCTTCTCATCAGCAAAGTCCATGGCATCCAAAAGAACCTCCTTCTCCTTAATCTTCTTTTTTAGTTGATCGAGAGTGAGCTCGTCATTTGAAGCAACAGAGGCAGGAGATTCGGGCCGAGGGGAGTTGTTGCCAACCCTGCGACGAGCGCTTGATCTGTAACCAAACTGCTCATCTTCATTCTTGAAGACCGTGGCATCCTTTCGGCCAGCGACGGCTCCAGCGGGCGCACCCCTAAGTGAGCGGTTCTTCATGTAACTCACACCTGTCTTCTGAGGCAGCAGAGCCGCGCCGGACTTGGTGCGGAACTCAGACTCATCGTGGAGCATTGACTTCAAAGTACCGATCGACTTGCTGAAGTTGCGGGTCGAAGGAGGAACAAGTTCGGCAGGGAGATTGTTGGGCAAAGGATAACCGTTGAGCTTTCTGTAGATCAAATGCATGGCGACAGCGAATTCATCGAGATCCAGGCGACCCTTGTTGCCGTGATCGGCCAAAGTCCAAACGCGTTCCAGGTCAGGTTTCTCGAGACCACTTTGTCCAAAGATTTCAATGGCCTGATCGCCGCCTATGTAGCCCTTGCCAAGACCATCCCAAGCCTTGAAAAGTGAGTCGTAACGGGTCTTCTCTTCCTTTGTAATTGCCCAGGGAATCACGGCGTTTCCTTGAAGACCCTGAGTAGTGAAGTTTCCGGCTTCGCGACCTTGTTGAGGCATCATCTGAGCCTGGAGAGCATCAATGTTGGGCAGGCCGGTCGCAGGCGCATTGACAAGGCCCCATTGACCAGGTCGCCCGGTAGGCTGGGCATTCAGAGGAGCTGCAATACCACCCGCAGAACCAGGAGTCAGCGATTGACCGTAACCTGTGGGCATAGGAGGCATGGGAGGTCGGGGACCGCTGTATCCGGTAGGTTGGGGGTTTTGCATTCCGGGAAAACCAGTTTGCTGGCTCTGCAGACCCTGCTGTTGTCCAAATCCTGTCTGCTGCCCAGGGAACCCCGTCATTTGCGCTTGAAGCAACTGCGCATTGGAAGCTTGGGGTTGAGGCGGGGGCTGCTGAGGTTGAGGTTGCTGAATAGTCGGGGGAGTCGCCGTATTGGTCCTGATATCAGGGGTGGAGGAAGCACCGCCCGAAGCAGCGGCATCGTCGGCAACACTGAAGCTAATGATATCGACCATGCTCGAAACCTCGTTCTTGATGTTGTCGGGTAGGCTGGGCGGCAACTGCTTGCCGGTAAGCTTCAAGTTGCACAGGTACATGGCGAGAGCAAATTCGGGGAAATAGAGCTGGCCAGCACGTGTGGTATCGGCAAGAGTCCTAGTTGATGTTAGCATCGTTAATCATAGCTGCATATAAAAGGCAGCAGAAGCAATTCATACCAGATGTGGGATAGAGAGTCGCCATCGAGTCTTGAGCGCATGAGCAAATCGCGCGCCTTCTCTCCCGACATGGTCATTCCACCATCACCAACAGCGGACTTGAACAAGGTTTCAAACTTGGCTTGATCCTGCGCTGTTATGAAAGAGAGACGGATGTTAGGGATCTTGTTAGGCTGCGGCTTTTCTGGTCTTCGACCTCTTGGCTTCGCAGTACCACCTGTCTGAAAGGACGCAGCCATCTCAGTGAAGCCAGTAGCTTGGGGCTTCATTGGCACTGCAGGGGGATTGGAAGGCCCAGATGCTTGCTGAGGCGAGGCAGAGAAGCCTGTAGGCTGCTGCTGTTGCTGTTGGAATTGCTGCTGGAACTGGGGTGGGATTGAGGGCATCGCAGGAGCACCAGTCTGGAAGGACTGCTGCTGCTGAGGTTGTTGCTGCTGCTGGCCAGGGAACCCAGTGAACTGTTGCTGAAGAGGCTGCTGCGGTTGTAGTCCCTGGCCTTGCATTGGAAAGCCGGTATACTGTTGCTGCAAAGGAGCTTGTCCGAAGCCTGTGGGTTGAGGCGCAAAGGGACTGGGTTGCTGACCGGGTTGCTGCTGGCCAGCGCCCATATTACCAAAAGATCCCCCGCCATACTGCTGCTGCTGCTGGCCAGGTCGCTGGCTATTGCCGCCTAAAAAGGCGTTCGAGTTGGAATACATTGTGGGCTGGTTCTTGTTCCCAAGACCACGTACAAGATCTCGTTCGGGGGTTGCGAGGAGGCGCTAAATTCGGGGGTTGCGAGGAACCGAAGACAGTATCCGGAGCGCGGAAGCTCCTGTAGTAAAAGTTGAAGCTTGAAAAATGCAATAAAAAGATGAGAAATAGAATATTAAAGGACTGTAAGGCCCTCAGTCTGTAGTCGCGAAGTGGACAGAGGGCATCCACTAGATTGGATGTGATGATGGAGGAGTAAGAGAGAGTGGCTTCGTACGTGATGACGAGCGTCGTCTTGGGCAGGTTGCTGTAGGTTTCTAGTGGAGAGTCCCCCCCATGGAGTGCAGCCGGAGCGCTTCTAGTGGCCCGCCAAGTTAGCTGTGGGCTTTTTACAGGGGAAAGGAAGCCCAAAGCAAATTGAGGTGGCTGAGACCTGGACGCGACCCGGACAGGACGGGACTCTACTCTCCTATGTTGGAACCTTCAACTGGGTAGACAGGGATTGGCGGTCTTTTCCTTTCTTGAGCTTAGCCTTCTTGTACAAAGCTATCGTGGATACTAAGTTAACATATGCACCATGACGACGCATGCACTATTGTATGGAGAATTATCAATCGTTCTGAGACATGTGAAGAAGACATTGAATTCGATTCATCTAAAAAAGTAGAACTAGTGAAGGGTATCAAGAGTAGTTTATACGCAAAAGAAAATGCAACAAGAACACCATGACCTCCAGACGCCTGCTTCCGTATACCATATGCCCAGTAACAAAAAGAACTCCAGAATGACAAGAAAAGATTCGAGCACAATACCATCGTCCTTGCACATGTTTTTTCCATTATAAGTTATCATTATCCTCATCTCACGTGTGCCGTTCGTCAAACTGCACCCCATGCTCCTCTTCCTCGATGCACCCAGCCTCATCACTCCAGAATCGTCGATGAGCTCGTAGTTCTAGTCCGAACTCAGTATCATGAGGGTCTGCAAAGCTGTACTCGTAATCGAGGCCATCATCATGCCCGTTTTGCTGGTGCCCAACAAGATATTCTTTATCGATTGGACTGTCAGGCTCAGGGGGAGTAGGAATTGCTGAGCCCGTGCTTGGGCTCTCCGCTGCACTAATGCCCCCTTCACTCGAGACGATGGAGTACGATCTTGACCAAGATCTTGTAACTCTGGCACCGGGCTCTGCGCTGACGAGGCGAGCTGGACCCAATGAGATCATGCTTGCTCTCTTGTTGCCCAAGTAAGGGTTGGACGCGCGGCGGTTTAACGCTCTCTTGGATTCAAAGGCTCGAAGCGCCAATCCACCAAATGCTTTGGAGAAGTCCTCTTCACCATCGCAAACCATGTATCCCTCCCCTGAGTCGAAGCGGCCATCTTCACCCTCCTCGAATAACAATCGGTTGCGTTCTAAAACCTCTTGTTGTGTGTGGACGGCGTCTTCCCATCCATCTCGCAGTTGCTGCGCCAAGGGCTCACTGACGCTCTGCGGAACCTTCTCGTGTCGCAGCTTAGACATCATGGATTGCCTACGCACCGAGGTTGTTGCAGTCGCCACGGCGCTATCCACAGACTTTTGAATAGTCAGGGCAAGATCGCGATCCGAGAAGGCTGAAAAATAGCGAATCGTCGTACTGTCACTCAAGTGTCGTACGAGATGTCTAAAATTAGAGAGATTGAAATCGTTTCCTTCACAGTCCAAGCTGTGGAGTGTTTTATTAGCAGAGATGGCTTCAGCCAGGTCTCCAATATTGACGTTCAGCATCTGACTTCGTACGCGCAGATGTTCCAGTCGAGTATTGAATCGAAGGCCAGCAAGTGATTTGGAAAACCCTCGTCCAAGACGCCCCTCGTCTAACTTCGCATCGAACCCAGAAAGGTCAAGGAACCTGATTGTGTGATTCTGTGAGAAGAGATTTGAGAGCGCTTTGCAAGCCGTCTCGCTGGCCGAGTCAGGGGTAGCGGTTCCGGCAAGACTCAAGCACTCGATTGTCTGGTTGGCTGTCAACGCCTTTAGAAGTTTGATATAATTGGCCTCCAAAGCAAACTCAACCATCTGTACGAAGAGACCCCAAGGCCCATAGCATTCGGTAATAACAGCACACAAATCGTCAATACCCTCGTCTAGACGATTGCTGTTGATGTAAAGTGTGATTTGTCTACCTGGGCCCATTGCATAGAACATCTGTGCAATTTGGGCACCCGTTAGGCCACATTTGCTCAACCGAAGAACTCGGAGGCTTTCTGAGTTCTGTGATGCCAAATATCCAGTCAAGATGTCGACGGTCGGACCATTTAGCTGGGCAAGCTTTGTTAGCGTTTGTCAACTTGATCACAAAAGGTGTTTACTTACAGCAATTCCGGACAGGTCGAGTTCCTCTAGACGCCAGGAATTCAGCACATAGTCTTCAAATAATGGGACATTGTATGGGATTCGGGTGTTGCCAGCAATATTCAGCTTCCTTATAGCCTGAAGTTGACTGAGAGAGTCACGAATGATCTCGAACTTGACTGTGCCCTGGTTCTCGGAAGTGTCGATATGTTGTAGATTGGCACCCTGGCCCGGAATGCCTGTCCAGAGAGTGGTGAGACCCTCATCGCCCAATCCACAGTTGGAAAAGTCAAGCTTCTTCATGTAAACTTCATCAAGAACGAGAAGATTGGCAAGTTCCTCAATGTCGTTCGGTGCAATGAGGTTGCCAGACATGGTGATGCTGTGACAGAGACATGCTTGGCGTTTTAGTAAGAGCAGGATAGGTCGCAAAACCTCTGAACTGACTCTGCGGACACCTTCAGGGTCCTTGGAGCGACCAACGATGCTTCGCGGGCCCAAAATATTCCTCAGATCCATACTTCGTATGGATTCCGATGAGAAAGCCAGGGCATGAATCTCCTGACTGAGGACAGAAGATTGCATGAGGAGATCATAATGCTCTTCAGAAATTTTGACACCGTTTAGTGATGTGTAAGCAATAGTATCTCCAAAGTGTGAATAGTCCTTCTTTCCGGCAAGACCGGATAAATCAATGTTACGGAAGGACAGCTCTTTGAAATAGCTGTTGTAACGGAGAGCCCGGAATAGTGCAAGTAATTGCAGAGTAGAATATGGCTGGCTGGCGGGTGGCAGAAGGCGGAAGGCTGGCTGGGAGGGTGTGTTCCATTCAATGGTCCAACTTGGAACCTGAACCTTAAACGCGGCACAATAGGCGTGAAGGCTTCGTTCGAGGCCTCCTAGATCGTTCCCAGAGGTCAATTGAAGTGGCGGCGGAAGTCCCTTGATATCGAAAATAGCCTTCTGTAAATGCTGTGGCCACATGGGCTTCAGCTCTCGATCTACTTTGGTCATGGCCTCGATAACATGCCGGTAGTGCACACTGGCAAGCTCGAGTCTGTTTTCACGTCCAAGCGGTAATCTGATACACATATTAGTATAGGAATGCATGCTTCATAGCGCCTCTGATAGGGCTTACCGAAAGCTCATCACAAACCGTTGCTCATGTGAGGCAACAGATGCCCGGAACCGTATGAGCGAGACGGTGCCGTAGGATTGGACCTTCACACGCAGGTCACCAGGCGCAGTTGTATATTCCGCCTTGAGAACCTCCAGAAAGTACAACATAGCTGGTCCAATAACAATGTAAAATGAAGATCCATCCGAGAAGTGCTGAGAATCGTCACTGGAACTGGACTTCTGGGATGCACCAACTGTGCGTTTGACCACAGGAAATGTCAATATTTTCGAGGTAGTCGGGTTCGAATCGGGTTCTGTATTTTCCACGATGTGATTGACTCTCGCTTTCAGATTGCCTGGTATTAGGGATGGGGACGGAGATCGTCTATGGCTCACTCTGCAAGCTCGTTGAATATTCGCTAGCCAGTCATCACGATCCTTGGGTAACATGAAGAACAAATGAGCCTTGGAGTAGGCCAGCTTAGGCCATTGGGAGAACCACCAAACTTCGATGCCAAATCGAGGACTGGAGCCTTCTTCATTGAAAACCCCAACAATTGAACGCAAAGGAATTTCCATGCGTACATCGGAAGAGGACTTGCTTGTGTTGCTATGCGAGTTGCTCGGTTTCAATGTTCCATCTCCCGTCCTAATCTGGGGAAAAGCAGCCTTTGCGCCTTCTACGCCACCAAATTTTATCAAACAGGCGTCCGTTAGAACCAGATACTCGGCACGGGCTTTCAGGAGCGTGACATCAGTTTTGAGTGGTCCAGATTGAATAAGTTCCATTGACGAGTAAGGAACTTCAGGAGAAACCACAGGGAATTCGGGAGCGGACGCGCTCATTGGCGAGGCTATTGATACTCGACGGTGTATTCTATCGATCATGGACCCCGAGCCAGAATTGGTCTTTTGTAGGCGCCGTATTGAGGAAGAGCTTCGGGACGGGCTATGCGACATGGACTCCATGGAGGAATTGCTGAGCGAACGAAGCGCTTTAGCGAAGACGCGAGGTTTCTTTCCATCGCCATTGTCGAATCCCTTGCCCCCATCGTTAGGAATTGGTACTGGCGGTGTTGTTTTAAGGGTCGGAAGAGTCATCCTCTTCCACTTCTCGTTCATCTTGGTAAGTTCGCGGTTGTGCTTGGACCAAGATCGTCGGCAGTTTTTCGAAATTCGATAAAAGAGTTTCCCAAATCAGTAAAAATAGAGAAACAGGTCAGTTTGCATAGATACACTCGGCATGCCGACAATATCCAAGATGCACACGACACCAAACTCCAGTTTTGAAAATAGGTGCACGTTCGTCCCTTGATGTTGTGAGTCCGCAAGCGATATGGAGATGGGATGGAAGACCGCGGACTGGGTAACAGGGTCGTCTCGACGTCAAGATGTCTCAGGGCTTTCGGTTACGATGCAATGTCGCAGAAAGGCCTCTCGAATCAAGCTCAAAGGATCCCCCGCACGCGTTGTCGTCGTTATCGAAGCGGGATGTGGGTGCGCCAACGCCCTCGTTGAGCCCAGTCTTTTGGGTTTTGTGGCAGCAAGTAAGTTGAGCGTTGCGGGTAGTATATGGGCGAGGAATGCGCCTCGAGGTTGAGCGCTATTCTATAAGCTGGCCACCCAACTGCAATTTCAACCGCAACTGCAACTGCCCCTGTATAGGTAATACGACTATTCCAGCCCGGCCGGAGGAGATGAACTTGATAGATACTGCAAACAGTCACGCAAGACAAGAACTCCTTGGAAGAGGAATAGTATATAACAGATACAGACAGTGCGCGCGCAAGAGCAGAAACAGAGCAGGAAAATAGATAAATAAATAGAGTAGAACAGAACAGAACAGAACAGAATGGGAAAAGTAGATATCACGGTGCGAGCTGAGGTTTCGTATCGGTTGATCGGCGTCGAGGGAATGGCTTGGATGAGACCAATATTGAAGATGACGTCGTGGTGAGCAGGAGAGTTACTGTAGCTCAGATCAAAAGCAGAGGAGATTTAGATCACAGCCGCAGACATGGCATGCTAAGACACTGCCAAGGTCCGTGAATCGAGGAGAGGGTAAAGCAAGTCAATACCCAGCAACGCAGTGTAGCGCAGCGTAGAAGATAGTAGCTGTTTAGAAGGCGAGCGAGACGGGAGGTTTGACAATACGAGGCGTGGTATGTGAACTTTCCGATCCGGTGGTCCCGGAGACGAGGACGGTTGGTTCTCGAAGAGGAATGAGAGACAAGACAAGTTCAAGGTTGGAACCAAGAAAAAGGAGAGGAAAGATAAAAGAGACAGAACCACCACCAGTGGTGGGTGATGTGATAACAGAAGACGGGATGTCTTTCTTTGACAAAGAGGAGCTAGGTAGGTAGGTAATGCACGCAACCAGATGGGCCGCTAACCAAAGAAAGAGATATGGATAAGAAGGGATTCTCCTAGGTATCAAAAGAGAGAAAAGTCGAATTGAAAGGAAGGGGAGTAGAAGAGCAAAGAATGAAGTCGTTGGATCCAAGGTCTATGTTAGGTCTGGTAAAGCGAGTGAGGGTAGGTACTAAGGTAAGGTATGGTATGGTCTGAGGTTACCTTAGGTTCGGGTTGTTTAATGGATCCCACCTACCTTCCCTATGGATTGGATTGGATTGGATCTCACTTACGCACCTAATTTGGGTCCAGCTCACGTCAATTGTCGTCGTCATAAGGACTGCCCGGACTGCTGCGGCTGGGCTGGGCCTGGCCTGGGCGACCTAGGCTAGGCTAGGGGGGGAAGCATTTTTAGTGGTGGACCACTAGACCACCCACCATGGATCTGTGCATAACGGACCTTGAGTTGGGTCAAACAATGGATTGGACCTCCATAATCTCCACCATCCAGACGAGTAAATCTCCATCCAACTGCCCAGCAACTCCCCTTGTATTGCACCTAATGTACGGATAGTGCCAGCACAAACATGGATAATACATACCTAGGTATGTGCAGTAGCGGTAGATTTAGACCTACTGTTAACTAAATCTCGATCACTGAACAAGATAGGAGGGATATTAGACTCGGACCCAATTGAGTCAGTGAACTAACAGTCACAAACTCGTCACTCCTTGCTCGCTTGTGGCTGATTACTGGTCCACGGTTCCGACGCACAAGGGGCCCTGGTAATGGAACTTTAACAAGAGATGAGAATCAAGGCTTGAGTGTCAGTACATTAAGTTGATTAATTAGTTGGTCAAGGTTTGAAACAGATCAAGATATTGTACATATTCAACAAGGACAGACAGTATTTCTTATGCATGTCTATATAGCTCGTAGATCTTTTTACAAGTTGGCTTAATCATGGTCATGATATTCAGGGTGGTCATGATGGGCAACACTCAGTACCTAGGTACCTACTAGGTCCAGTACTAAAGCCATGATGCTGAAACCCATCATTACTGCCTTATATATTTTCCACGGCACTTTCTATCCATGATACAGCCAATCATCAACTATTCAAGGTCACCATGCCCCTGCCAATGGACGGAATTTATTATTTTATCCCTCACATCTATGGCTTCCATCCATTGTTGCTGAACAGAAGAATATCTTCTTAAGGCTCTCAGGCTCTCAGGCTCTGTCTGTACAAGACGGGAGAGCTGACATTCAACCCTCCCAACCACCCCCGGCTTCGCTTGAAACCACTTTTTTGCTTCAAGCCTCAGCCAAGCTTCGACCGATTCATTTCAAGAGGTCAGAGCCAGAAGATGAGATGCATTAGATGATGTTTCAATGCAGCTAATTGCATCTCACAAGTTCTGGAGACTCGCTTGACTGGACCGAGTAGCCTTGATTCTCTTGGAGTGAGCCAGGCCCTTGATCCTTTCACATATAAACATCGTATTCAGTGATCTCGTGTCGCTTCTAGCCAAGACTACTAACCACTGTATCCTTCCAGTTCCTCCTCTGGAATTCATCTCGTGCATACATACAGTAATCCTTATCTGCCGTGTTGCCGGACGTCGTGTCATCTTACGAGGTCTCTACCACTACCTCCTCCTCTACCTCTGCAGTCCTGTACCAGCCGCAAAGCAAATCTCAATCAATCAATGGTTAGGCCGTTGAAACTGGGATTTTGGACCTTGCGATTGGCATGCGGCCAAGCCACCCGCTAAAGTTAGAAGACGACGACGACGCGGCGTCCTCTTTTGAGACAAGCTCAGAGATCTGCTGAAAGGGTCCTTGAATCTTCCGTTCTCTACTGTTCGAGAACGGTCCATTGAGTTCATCTTGGGACATATTTGACAGTCCAGCTTGACAGGCCTTGAATACGACTTGCGTCATGACACAGATACAGGAGAGATGATGAAAAAAAAGGAGGCTAGTTTGGAGGTCGGAGATGGATAAAAGCTTGGATAACTTCGCAGTCCAGGCGTCGTATCTGATCGCCTTCACTTAATTTATTAACTAAATACAAAGCTCTCTATCCGCGGTTGGCGACAAGCCCACCACCCCTTCAATCTATCGCTTCTCTTAATTATTATTGTTTAGCGGCGAGGTGAAACCGAAACCAGTAAATTCATCAGTCAACAACCGGAGAGTCCGGACAAAATCGAACAATGGAAGCCCAGGCACAAAAGAAGACCCTGGAAAACTTAGTCTCCTCTTCACCTCGTACTTTACCTTAGTCACGGATCATGTGGGTTGATGCTCTCCCGACTCGAATCGACACGAACGAGGTAGTCTAAGAAAAGAAACGTCTCCACCAATATCCATGCCCATATAAATTCAGGGACCAGACTAATAACATACATACTTCTTCATCTACGAATACCTTGACAGTGGCTGAGTTCCATGTTCCATCGCGTTTCCATTGCTTGTGGATTCCTTGACCGCTTCATTAAGATTCATAAGGACCCGTCAATATTCGATATTTTGTGCTCCGATGCAACATATCTGGCTTCGTTAATCTTGTTTGCATCACTTGCCGACTGCAATTTACCGGTCTTGTCCAGAGAGTTCATTCTATGAGTTGATGCAATCGTCAATATCTGCGGCACTGCTCTGAAGTCCAGCACCAAGGCCAGATGCTCCATCCAGAGACGCACTCTTCTCGAATCCCAACATCTGTTCAGGGGCCTCCCAAGACGACTCTACTCTCCTATCCCACGATAGGCGAGCGTTTCAAATATATTAACTTTCAAAAGACTGCACCAGCTGGCCAAGGAAGCGCGTCTGAGCACCATATAGTGTTATGGATAAACTGTTGACCGGGTAGTGATGATTGCTTAATTCGAGTAGTTGGACTCTGTAGAGTATCGAGGGGAGAGGGTTTGTTCATACTTCAACCTGACAGGGATCGATTGTTATAATAAGTACTACAAGTCTTCTATGTAATTACTAGATTGCCATGTTCCAGCTTCATCATTTCCTACCGTCAAGGGTGGAAAGCTTACCAGTCATACCAATGTCAGAACAGCCTTAACAAGGTTCCCCGAGTTTTGGTGGTCTAACAAGGTTTGTGAGGCCTAACCAGAAAGTACAGTACCTATGCATCCAATCTAAAGATAAGATCATGTGTGTGGAATCAAGATAACGACCGCCTCCACAAAGACCCTTGGTTCAGTCACGTCACGGTAGAGTAGATAATGTATGAAGAACAGTTTCATCACATGCAATCGTGATGGCCCTAAATCTAGTCTGCTCGATGATGTATCGGAGACCTAGATTACGGGCGAATGGATGGCGGTGTTGAGGCTAGACAATGACAATGATGAGAGACCAAGAACCTTTGAAAGGCTTAACGCTTGTCACAAGATGGCCAAAACATGATATCATTATCTTCTTAGATATGAGTGGCGTGGTTTGAAAATCAACATTCGGAACAACCTTCGGAATTGAATGTGCTTCCCCGAGGTACGGTAGTTGTGCCGGGCACTCAAAGTCCGAGGAGGATGATTCCATATAAACTGCCAGATATCGGCAAGATCCAGTATTGCAGCCGCAGGATGGAGACAGAGAGATGGAGAGAGGGGCACGACTACCTACCTACCTACGTATGGGCGAATATGACCAAGCCCCAGCAGGTAAGTAAACTGCCCAGACTCGGGGTAATCATGTATGGTCAATAGGTAGTCCACACTTAAGATAGCTTAGTTGAGCCTTGTATGGTCAACTACCTGGTGATTGATAGAAGTATATAAGATCATGCTGTGTCATGCCATGCCATGCCATGCCATATCTATCTCAACTTCAATGTCTGTTTCTTCAACCCTCCCGACTCAAGTTAACTCAGACCCGAGAAAACTACCCCGCCACAGTCTGGGGTAACAGCCAATCACGTCTCTCAATTCACCAACGATCAACTGAACAAGGTCGGCATCTTCAACCGCCACGTGACCGCTTCCAGAGCGCCAGTCGAGGCCCCCAGGCCTAAGTCCCGTCCTTTTACGCCTGCGATTTCGGCCTTCGGCCTTCGGTTTCCATTTTTTAATACCAAAGAGCTCCCCCTCCTCTTCCTTCCTTTAAACTGTCCAAAGGCCTCCATCTCAGACCAGACAGCTTTCTTTTCCACCCCCCGCAAAACCCACCTCTCGCCTGGTCTGGGTTATAACTGTAACATTCAACCAACACTTTTAAGCCGACCTCTTCCGTGAGGTTCAGGTTTGGGTTTAATTGAATTGAATTGCTGCAAGAGCTTCACCTCAACAGATCGCATCGCGTGGTTCCAAGGCGGGGAACTAAAAGCTCCACCATGTCCTCTCCTGGCGACAACAACTCGCTTCTCGCGAGACACTACATCGACTATGTCTACGCGCCTGGTCTGCTTCTCATCGTTGGCACTTTGATTGTCAAGAAGGAGTGGACTCCTTACGCTGCTCTCGTCGCCATTGCCTTCGGCATCTACAACTTCTTGGCCTTCCGTAAGCTTCACCACGCCCACGCCCACGTTTCCTGCTCCGGCAACAGCCAGCTAACAGTCGATTCGCAGAGGTCAAGACAACCCTTAAGCCTGATGTTTTCCAGGACTTTGAGCTTGAGGAGAAGACCATTGTGTCGCACAACGTCGCCATGTAAGCCGCCGATACAAACACTTGCATCCGCATGGTCTTTTTCAGTATACTAACCACGCGATAGCTACCGCTTCAAGCTTCCCAGCCCCAAGCACATTCTCGGTCTTCCTATCGGTCAGCACATCTCCATTGGTGCTCCTTGCCCCCAGCCCGACGGCACTGTCAAGGAGATTGTCCGCTCCTACACTCCCATTTCCGGTGATCACCAGCCCGGCCATGTCGACCTTCTGATCAAATCCTACCCTACTGGCAACATCTCCAAGCATATGGCTTCCCTCACTGTTGGCCAGACCATCAAGGTCCGAGGTCCCAAAGGTGCTTTCGTTTACACCCCCAACATGGTCCGACACTTTGGCATGATCGCTGGTGGTACCGGAATCACCCCCATGCTCCAGGTTATCCGTGCTATCGTTCGTGGCCGAGCTGCTGGCGACAAGACTGAAGTCGACCTGATCTTCGCCAACGTCACCCCCCAGGACATTCTTCTCAAGGAGGACCTCGACGCTCTCGCTGCCCAGGACGCTGGTATCCGGGTGCACTACGTTCTTGACAAGCCTCCAGAGGGTTGGACCGGTGGCGTTGGCTACGTCACTGCCGACATGATCGACGTAAGTACTCACATTCCTAGTCTGACAGTTCATCCGCTGACTGTAATTTAGAAATACCTGCCCAAGCCCGCCGACGATGTCAAGATCCTTCTCTGTGGTCCTCCTCCCATGATTAGCGGTCTCAAGAAGGCCACTGAGAGCCTTGGCTTCAAGAAGGCTCGCCCTGTCAGCAAGCTCGTTGATCAGGTTTTTGCCTTCTAAGAATCTCAACAAATGTGCAGGAAAGCATGTGCCAAATTTCTGCTTGTGTTGGACGGGACAGGCGTAAGGGATGGTCCATGGATGTGTAAAACTCTATATAGAAAAAATGAATCTGGAAGAGTCGGAAGGATACACAACGTCTGATTGCAGAGGCATCTTGGATCACGAGGAAGGACTGCATCATTATGATAATAGGAATTGTGCCAACGCGAAGATATGTGAATTCACGTTAGCCATATACCACAGCATGTTACACTATTAATCAACTGAATTGTTTTGTCTATGCAAAAGTACAAGATAAAGACGCTTCCCGTTCTCCCCAATGCCCTGATATAAAATCATCTAACTTAATGATACAACTAATCCCAGATAAGGGCAGGTTTTTTTCTCAGCGTGTATCGCCAAAAAGAAAAACACATCCTCAAGTCTTCAACTATATCCCAGTTCACTCCTCATCTTCAGCTGCATCTGCCATGCTGGTATCCGCTGCAGGTCGGGGCTCGTCGTCCTCATCACCAGACGTGGCCTTGGCTTGAGCAGGTGCTTCCTCGTCACCATCATCTTCTTCGTCACTGTCGACGACACGACCACGACGAGATCGTTTGTTCTGTTGGCGCGGGGCAATTTCTTCCTCGTCGTCATCATCGCCTCCTTGATTGCCACCGTCATCAACGTCCATCTTGTCGTCCTCGACAGCTTTTTCGTCGGCCTCTGATAGAGGGGTTTCTTCCCTATCGATGTTCCTCTCAGCACGTTCAAGCTCGTCGTCATCGTCATCGTTGTTGTTTTCTTCGTCGCTGTCGACAACAATTTCTGCAGACTTGAACTTGGCAGACTCCTTCTTTGTAAGCCGGCGGCGCTTTTTGGTTCGCTCTTCCTCTTCTTCAGACTCGTCCTCCTGGCGCTCGCTCTTCTTCTTCTTCTTTCCTCCAGATCGTTTTGGCTTGGGCTCTCCTGAAGCTCGGGGAGCAGTCTTGCGCTTTCGCTTTACCTTGTCTCCCGTCTCACTGTCGGTCGTCATCTCAGCTTCCTGACGGGCTCGCTCTTCTTCGGCTCGTTTCTCAGCCAAAGCTCTGTCTCGTGTGGCAATTTCATCGCGCTCCTTCTTAATCTTCTCTTGTCGCTCGCGTTCTTGTTCCGCAATCTTTTGGCGCTCTTCTTCGCGGCGTCTGATTTCTGCTTCTCGCAGCTCCTTGGCTGCTTGAATCTTCTCCTTGTTCTTCTCCTCCCACTCCTTCTGCTTGCCAATGGCACGCTGAAGTTGGTTACGCAAGGTGTTACGGGCCATGTTGGCACGCTGCTCCACGTCGTTCTTGGGATAAGGAGTCTGAGGGTGAGCAGCAATCTCATCCAATGATGTGATAGCAGACTCAAGACCCTCGGCAGCCTTCTCGAGTTGTTCTGTGGATCGCTTGTTCTCTGGCAATCCTTGAATGAGAGTAACGAGCTGAATTTGCACAAAAGCAACATTGAATTTGTAATGTACCTGCTCCGGGGCAACCTCGAGAGCCTAGCAGTCTGAATTAGCATGATACAGTATCGAAATTGGGAGGAAGACAAACTTTCTGCGCACACTCGAGTGCTTTGTTGTATGGATCCGCGTCGCGCTCAGCACGGCCACGGTTCAACCATGTTCGACCCAAGCAAGCCAGAATTGTCGGATCATCTTTCTTGCCGTCTTTAGAGAGAGCAATCTCGTAGTGCTCGATAGCCTTGGAGTATTGCCTGAGCTCGGCGTAGATATGTCCCAGGTTGACATAAAGGTGAGAGTCCTTGACAGTCTCTCGGACCTTGTTGAAAATACCCAACGCCGACTTGTGGTCCTTCTTATCTTCAACGAGAGCAATAGCAATGCCTTGTGCGGCGTAGGCATTCTTTGGGTCCAGTGAGAGAGCCTTTTCGAAGAATTCAACAGCCTTACCATATATCGCACTTCGCTTTTGTTTATCAGAATCCGACTCGCGACGCATCTCTCGCGCTTGCATAAGATACAAGTTGCCCATACCGACTAGCGCGTGTCTGTCATGCTTGTCGTAATTTTGCAGAGTATGCTTGTAGTGACGGAACTCGGGGTCCTCATTCAGGTTGGCGGGGCGCTTTCTCGAGTGAACCTTGCCAAGATACCAGCCGTACAAAGCCCGGACTTCGAGGTCCGTGTTGTTCTCTTGATATAGTTTGGCAACCGCATCAGGTCCCTCCTTGTTGGGATTCTTCCTGAGTTTTATGTAGGCAAGTCTGGCGCGAGCATCTGTATAGTCGTCATGCCGGGCCAGTAGTCCCTCATACACTTCAATGGCCTTGTCTGTCAGGCCCCTAGACTCGTAGCTTCGTGCCAGATTGAAGCTGATTGTTGATACCAAGGCATCCGTATCCATATCAGGGTCCTTCTCGCCAATCTTGATGCAAGCACCCAATGCCGCTTCGAACATGTCACTTGCAAGCTCATGCTTTTCCGACTGCGAATGAAAGCAGCCGATGTTATTTAATAACTGGGGCGGCAAAGACTTCCTGAGAGCGGTCTTGATCTCAGCCTCATCTGTGACATCCTCTGGCCGTTCTGAGTCAGGGACCTGGTCCAACTCCAACTGCTCTACTTGCTGTAGGCACTGCAGAGCTTTCTCGGGCTGGTCTGTCTCGTAAAGACGGGCCAGGTTGAGAAGGACTGACGCATCTGGAGATAACGCCCTCTTTGTATCCTTCCAAGCATTTCGGACGCCTTCTAGTAGTGCAATGGCCTTTTTGAGCTCGGCGGACTTGTCCTCCTTGCTATCACTGACCTGATTCGCAAAGATTTCCTCGGCATATAGAGTACCTAGAAGAATCATTGCCTCATGGTTTTTGGATTGCTGAATCATCTTCTCGAGACGAAGTTTAGCTTCTCCGAGGTCGTTCTTCAAGACCGACAACTGAGCCACACCGAACTTGGCAGGAAGATATCCAGTCTCTGTACCACCTCGAGCTTCATCAGCACGGCGGTAGTAATCAGTGGCCTTTTCGACATCTCCAGCATAGTGCTCCTTTCTTGCCAGCAAGTACCAGCCATCACTAGCAATTGCATTGACGTCGGTGTATTGGATAGCTTTGTGCGCCAGTTTATCGGCATTGTCCCATGCCTTTCTTGAGAGAAAGTACCCAGCAAAGGTAGAACATGTAAGAGGGACATCTTTGTCTAGTTTGAAGGACTTTTGAGCGTACTCGGTCATCGCTTTCTTGTAAAGCTTAAGGAAATCGTCGCTGTTGACAGGTACATGACCGCTTGCGTCCAAGTAGTAAAGGCCGAGCAGGATGTTGGCAACTTTGGAATCGGGGTTAATCTCAAGGCACCGCTCCCAGGCCATCTTGGCATCGTCCTTGAAGCCGAGCTGCCAGAAACAACAACCGATACCGATTCGAGGGTCGGGGTCAACCAGGTCGGGCATCTTCTGTAAGACGTCCTGGTAGATTGCTAGCGATTCGGGATACTTGTGCATCGAGAACAAGGCCCGGGCTTTGCCCATGAGCGCCAACATATTTTTGCCTTGAGAGACACGCAGAGCATCATCGAAGGACTTGACAGCAGTCTTCAAAAGCTCGTGCTTCTCAGATCCGATACCTCCAGCAGTCTTAGATGGTGCTTGTAGGGAAGCTCGCAGAAGTAGGAGGACACCACGGGCGAGAAAGATGGGCGGGAACGATGGGTTGAGGCGAGCAGCGTCGTTGAGAGATGATGTCGCAAGCTGAAGATAATACTCCTTTGTCTTTGCCTCAGACACGGAGACGCCCTCAGGGGCGAGACGAGGCGCCTCTCTACTCTTCCACAGATACATCCAGCATAAACAGCAGACCATGCTGACTCTATCGCGAGGATTGGCGTTGTTTCTCTGGATGTCGGCGCCGCTGCCGCCTCGTTGTAGCATTTCAATGGCATGGTCGACCTTGTGCTGTTTGGCATAAGCTAAAGCAACGGTCATCCAATAGGTCTTGGCAGCGCTTTCGTTTTCTAAGAGGGTACAGAGGTCGGCGGGTTCGTCAACGAGGTCCTCGAGGTTGATTTCGACAGCTTCATCGGCCTCGCCGCTGGGGATAGGAATGTCGATGGCGGAGGGGATGTCGCTGAATCGAGTGCTGACAGGTCCCGATGGGACGTCGCCGTTGACACCGTTCGCGATGCCGTTCTGGGAGGACGACATGATGACGGAGATTTTGTGTGTGCGTGTGTGGAAAAGAGATGGTGTTCGCTCGGAAGCGAAAAGTTGGGTCGAGGAACGCGTCGCTCGTAGCAGCTAGCAATGCGCCTCGAGTAAAAGGAGGATCAGCTCATCGAGTGTCTCAAAGACCAATCGGCATAATCAATCGCAGAATCTAAGCTTGCTCGAATTGAAATCAGAAAAATACTGGCGAAAAGGAGGTGGGCGGTGATGATTGCGCCGATAGTTTTGGCGTGTTAGTTTTATTGTATCGCAGGATGAATGAGAATCTGCCCGAGGAGCTGCTTCTGAAGGTCGCGCGGTACGTACTTTATTGGTGGGGCATTTTGTGTTCTTCTGGTTGGCTGCTGACTTATAAGGTCCAGACGACCAACGACAGTTCATAATCAACGTCAAGTAGGCAGACCAGTCGACGATGTTTCAGTGGCATGAATAATTAGAAATAGATAGACTACTGTAAAGAAGTGTTGAAGAATCTCTGATTCTTCGGGATTGGTTTATAGTGCATAAATAGCTGTATCGAACTCGGCGTTCATGTGATTTTGTTATCCTATTGTTAAATGAACAAGACAGGAGAACAGTCAAATCATAGAGACCAAAGGCATATAGCAGAAACTATTTTCTATTCTTGATCGAGTGATACTAATCCAAGCTAGGTGTACCATGGTTAATTTCTATTTCGAATTGTACAGTGTTGACTTGTCTGCCCAGTGTTCGATGTTCTGCATCCGAGGATTCGCTTCAACACAACAGCACAACTGTTCATGATAATCATCACGAACAGGGGTCTTGGGTTGAATTGAATTGAATAAATCCAAATAGTTGAATCTTGGCACGTAGACTAATATAGGTTACTTGGAAATTCTCCGTATTATGAATGTCCAATGCAGACAGTTGCCCTAGTTCAGCAGGTTAATTTCGCTGCACAAGTCACCATCGAGCGAAAAGCAAGTCGGTAATCGTAAAGACATGATCTCTGTGACTCTTGGCTGGTATTTCAGGCTTCTGGAACTTCAATACAAGTACCTTCAATCAACTGCAGGCCTGTAGATGGAACAACTAGTGAGTTCCGCAGTGACAGGAGCGCGGGTGACGTGCAGCTGGCAGGCAATGTTCATCAGCTGCACTGCATCCTTTGCTCGTACGTGCCGCTGCCATTGTTTGCAAGATTGACTCCTGTCTATTTTTCTTCCTCGCCTCTTTCTTCTTCTCTTCAACACAACAAGCTTGGTCCTCATCCCTCGCCAGCTTTGATAAATCATCACGATCTTTCTTTTCCTTCTCCAGCAACCAAAAGAGCTACCACATGTCTCCTTTTCCTGGAACTCTGCTTTCTTCTCGCAGTAATAACATAATCATTGCACCTATCCCCTTCATGCAAGCCTCCATCTCTTCGTTTCCAGGGTGAGCATAAGAATATGAGGGTGCACTGATCTATCATCTCACCAATTGTCAACCATCATCCTGTTACTCTTCTTCTTACTCAACACCGAGAGAACTCTCGTCGATACTCTTCTTTCCCCTATACAACAACCAGATATTCATGGCGTAAAGACATCTAACCCTTGGCTTTGAGAAATCGCTGTCGCCCCCTTCTCGTTCTTTGCTGCTTGTCATTCTACCAATACCAATATTATCCCGACCTGTTCTTATCCAAGACGAAACAGCACTTCATCCGATAGATTAAGCTTCATGACGAAGACGACGATTAATAGCCAAGCGCATCACCGATACTGAACAGGCTTTGCTTTATACCGATTACCCATGTAAGTTATCCTGGTAGACTATCCTGATCTCCCTACTAAACAAGATCAAGTGCTTGCTCGTTGTATCTGAACATGGCTCCCTTTCTGGAGAACAGCGACCTCGTGTCAACCACCCCCAACACCCACGCCCGTAGCAACAAATGCTACTCATGGGATTGCCTCACTTCTTCAGAGCAGGCTGGCATTATTGTCAGCGTTGTGGCAACCTCTGTAATTCTTCTATTCGCCTATATGTATTACCTAGGCAGACTCACAGAAGCCCATCGGCAAGTCATGATCTCACGATCAAGACGAAACCGAGCTCAGAGGGCAAACTTCATCCACTTCCATGAGGTGTCACTTGTTCAGCTACCTGTGGTGCCGCAATACCCTAGTGAGAACATACTCTATGCACCTTTCGCCTATCATCCAGAGCCTCTAGTGGCGAGCTACCAGCCTGGAACTGCTCGTGTTATCATACCTTCGCACACGATGCCGACTATTGTGCCTGCCCAACCCACGACATATGTACATGTACCTGTCACTCCAGATGTCAGCAACAATCGGGTACAGAACTCACCTCGACCCGTCGAATCAACACCATCTATCTCACTATCATCTCCTTCTGATTCAGAAGTCAATGTCAATCACGAAAGAGAATGGTGGAGGCGGCTTTGTCGGGTTTTGGGCCTTCCGGTAGGTAGAGCCTCGACTATTGCCAGCGACTCTACCCCGAGCTCTCCTGGGATTCCCCAACATCGAGCACAGCGATCGAGTTCAAGTCGGCCAGGACCCGAAAATGTCGGAAACAATCCTACATCTTTAGAGAACCAGGGGCTTCAGCCAAACACTGGCAATCAGAACCTCCGTGTCCCTGACCATGACAGTTCCCAGCATAGTCCTATGAGGGGACAGTCGCCTTCATCAGTTGTAGCGACCGTTCACAGTGATGACTTCGACATTGCGTCTCATTGAACCCTTTGTCTAGAGTGAGAGATTGCGGAAACTACGAGTTGGATCGGAAGGCCGGTCTGTTTGATCACACTCCTTTTTGGTGCTGCATTGACATCGATATCATTTTCATTGTCCGACATATCAACGAATAGCAATACCATGCCGTCTCACCCTCAATACTTTTATCAGGGCCATAGAGCACCTGCAGAGCGCCCAGCATTGATCATGATCAATTATTGTTGTCAGAGGGAATGAGCCTACAGAGAGGCTTGTGAGATGCTGAACTGGAGAAGCCGATCCGAGTTTTAGTATTGCAGCCGGGATGGGCCATCATCATCTCAGTATACCCATTTTGAGTTTGGCTAGGGTATGATTTTGCGAGTGAGACCTCTTGAGTATGAACCCTTTCATGTAAAAGTTTGACTGTTTGTTATCTAGATGATGGGATTAAGGAAGGCTTTTATTGTCGTGGATAGACACCGATGTAAGTTGGGAGACAAGAAATGATGACAACAATTGCAGAAGAATTGTATACCTTGAGAATGCTGAACATGGACATGAACATGCAATGAGTGTGGACAAACTAGCACTTTAAGTAAGAATCGGGGTATCAAGAAAAGTGGCTGCCAATAAATTAAAAGGACAAAATAATTTGATCACGATACCACAGGTTAGACCGTCTATTTGGCTAATTATTTTTGACGCCAAACCCTAGAGAACAATTCTTCTGCTGCCTCCCAGGGAATACTAGGTATTTACAGTATCATCTGACGAATTAAAACAACAGCAGCGCTATCCCTAGTAGGATTGCACGCATCTTGGAAAGGGAATGGTTCCATAAAAGGTAAAGGCTTGGAAGCTCTTGTGGTTGTCCAGACTCAAGGTTGTTGGTACTTTAGGAAACTCTAGGTATAGCGTCTAAGCGCAAGTACCTACAGTAGAAAGCCCAGCCAACTCAGCCCAGCCCCAGTCAACGTCATCCTATCCCATCCCATCCTACCTCCACTACTTACTTTCCTTCCTACCTACCAACCTACTACTATTACTACTAACCTTGCCCGCCGACCTGACCACGACATACTTTGCCCTTTGATACACGGCCTAAACCGCACACTCCGGAATGCGACTCGATTGAATGCAATTCGCATTAATCCATTCATCCTCGTACCACACTCTGTTAGATCCATGCTTGCCCCTCCCCCGCTAGCAACGACCTGCATTTGAAGCTCTCGTCCTCCTCCACGGAGCTCTTCTCCAGGCTCCAGCTTAAACGCGCGAAATAGACTCTGCAAACCACTTGGTCGACAACGACCATCGCCATTATCTCTAATACCCTTCAATATGTGGAACGACGAGGATAACAACCCGTACGGCACCAGCTTCGATCGGCGAGATTCGCAATCCTCGTCCGTCAATCCGACGTCTCCGTCCACTCGTGAATGTAGGTTCTACCCGACCATTATGCTGTTTGGCATTATCAAAACACCGGCCGCAAGATGCATTCAGTCCTTGTAAGCAACACAGGCCAGGCGAGCGATGCTGACAACTTATCTGCAGATCAGCGTTTCGAGCCACCTCAAACACCAACCTCCGGTAGCGATGACGAGCATGGTCAGTTCGGTCATGGCGCAATTCATGACGACAGTGACGATGGTGGAGATTCGACACAAGACGCTGGCCCAAAGCGCAAGCCTGGCGGCTATGACAGCCGAATCGAACAAATCCTCTACGAGAATCCCAAACTGTCTATTCTTATTACAGATGCAGGCAAAAGCATAGAGAGTGGCGGTAGATACATTGTTTACACTATCAAGACTGGCGTATGTCTCTTTGGACCTGCTCTATCTGAGGAAATCACTAATTGTTATACAACAGGATCTTGAGGTGCGCCGCCGATACTCCGAGTTCGCTTCTCTGCGCGATGCTCTTACTCGTCTTCATCCTACTCTTATTGTCCCGCCGATCCCCGAGAAGCACACCATGGCTGATTATGCTGCGAACCCAACGAATGCGAAGCAAGACCAGCAGATCATTGATTTGCGCAAGCGCATGCTGGCTGTATTCTTAAACCGCTGTCGTCGGATGGAAGAGATTCGAACAGATGGGGTTTGGTGGCGATTCCTTGACCCAAATGCTAGCTGGGTATGTCGGGCATTTCAATGCGCGGTTGTTATTGCCGGTTACTAACAGCGAATTAGAGCGAGGTCCTTCATTCTCATCCCGTGGCCTCGATTCCGAAATCAATCTTGAAGGCGCCTCCACTGGACCCTGCGAACCCAACTCCTGCGCATAATTATCTACCGATCCCGGCTGCCTCGGCAAAGCTGAAGACCGTGGCCGGTACCAACCACGACAACAGCTCAGGCCATATTCAAGCAGGACCACATGCCTTTGGACGATTCCCACCTGAAGGCCATAATCTCGGAGAACAGGAGCTGGACCCTTATTTCATATCTTACGAGTCGTCAATTAAGGAACTTGAGCAACTTCTAACTGGGCCCATGGAGAAGGTGAATCGCCGAACCCTCAGCCACCTGTCATCGTTGGCAGCCGATCTTTGCGAGCTGGGCTCCGTTTATAATGCCTTTGCGGTTTCAGAGCAAGCACCATCACTCGGGCCTGCTATTGAGCGTATAGGCCAGGCAGCTGACCTGTCATACATCGCAACGGAGGAACTTTCAGGGTCGCTAGGCGCAAGCTTTGCCGAGCCAATGCGCGAACATGCGCAATTCGCCGGTGTTGTCAGGAGTGTGCTAAAGTACCGCGTGCTTAAACGGGTACAGCAAGATCTCACCACTGAAGAGCTGAGCAAGAAGAGAGCACTTCTTGATCAGCTAGAGCAAAGCGAAGCCGAAGCTAGAAGAATCGAGAACTACCTATCTAGCAGCCAACAAATTTCACCGCCGCCAAAGCGATCGACGAGTCTTAGGGAGCCGCCTTCTCATCAGCGACGGGATGGCAGTCAAGAAGACACTGAGTCCATCGATTCCGACTTTCCCGGGACGCATGGTGACTTTTCCTCTCACACCCCGTCGGCCAGCCAAGGATTGCCCGAAAGGAGTACCAGTGTGCCATCTCATAAGAAGATGCCCAGTGGGAACTCTATAACGAACAAGATCTTTGGACCCATCCGGCATGCAGTGCAAGGAGTTGTTGACGTCGATCCGGAGAGGACTCGTCGTGACTTAATTGGAAAGACAAGAGAGAGTATCGGTCAACTCGAGCAAGCCCAGGTTGTCTCGGAAAAGGATGTCAAAGAGGCCAGCGCTAGTGTGCTGAAGGACATGAAACGGTTCCAAAAGGACAAAGAGGATGACTTGCGACGATACATGGTGAGTTGCTCCACGCGAATGGTTGAACATCTAAACACTAACAACAAGTAGCTTGCATATGCACAAAGTCAAATCGAATGGGCGAAGAAGAGTAAGCAGCAATGGGAAGAAGCTCGAGCGGAGGTGGAAAAGATTGATGAATCCTAAGCATGTTTTCTTCTTCTTCTTTCTGTTGATTTCCAGTCAATGATTATGGGTTTGGAGCTTAAAGCTGTAGAGGGTAAGATCAGTGTAGGGAGCGATTGTTCCCATCATAATTTATACAGTTGACTACCTACATCGTCAGTTTCACATGAAGCTATGTACTGAGGTGAACGAAACAAACCTTCCGCTACTATGCTTGATAGGCCGGGCACTTTTTTGGCGATGACTGTGCGTTCGGTGCGCTCACCTTCCATCACTCTTTGTATGCGCATAAGACGGAGTGATGTTCGCCAAATGTTCCTGGCATAGTGCTGGCTTCGGACCGAAGAGCATCCCTCAAAGTCGCGCGGTTAGAATATAATTCTAATGCTTAGGCTGGAGAGTATTGAATCGCTGCCTCCAATGTTACCAGCAATGAGTTTGTACACCTCAACTGCACTCGTAATAAGATGAATAGGTGCTAAGGTACCTAGGAATGTATGTGGCTTACGCAGCAGCAACCTCGCAGCACTTCCAAAGGGGGGAAACCCAAAATCAGTCAGACTTCCTATTGATCTATCAAATTAATGCAATAAAACGTGCCCTGACTAGAATACCCCAGCCTTCTTTGTTGTAAGAGAGAGCACGGGGTACTAAGGTAATTGTGTGACGTTGCCTTATCGATAACGCTACTTATAAAGACGCTTCTGTGTCGCGACAACACCCTTCATCCACCCCATGCACACAGGCCCCAGAACCCATCGCCATGGCGCAACAGGATGGGCCTATTACCTCCATCGCGGAGCCAGGCATCAAAGCCCAAGGCCATCTCTTGCATGAGATGCGCAGGGAGGTCGCAGGTCTTTTGAACAGAAATCAAACAGGGTTTCCTGGCGCCCAGCCCGTGAGCTTCTCCCGACAGCATCTCGAAGAACTTACACAGCACGAGTAGGACTAGCCGCTGGCATTTAATGACGTTGGCTAACGTTGGATTGTAGCTATTATGTCGTCGAAAAGTCCGACGGTATCAGATACCTTCTTTATTCGACAAACGATGAGAAAGGCGACGAGGCGCACTACCTGATCGATCGCAAGAACGACTTTTGGTTCATCACAAACAGGAACCTTCACTTTCCCCTCGAGAACTCCCCCCAAGAGTTCCACACAAACACGTTGATCGATGGCGAATTAGTTTGGGACACTGGCTCCGACGGGAAGCGCGTCCCCATGTTCCTTGTTTTCGATTGCCTGGTGCTAGACGGTGCCCAGCTTATGGAGCGAACACTCGACAAGCGCCTCGCATACTTCGACCAGCGGTTCTATCGTCCATACAAGAAGTTATACCAGGAATACCCTACTGAACTGCAGTTCCAACCATTCTATGTCGAGATGAAGAAGCCCCAAGTTGCCTACGCCATCGACATGATGTTCAGAGACATTCTGCCAAAGCTGAAACATGGCAACGACGGGCTTATTTTCACCTGTCGCACCACGCCCTACAAACATGGCACCGACACCCACATCCTGAAGTGGAAGCCCCCAGAGGAGAACACTCTTGACTGTCGTCTACGCCTGTCCTTCCCAGAAGCGAAGCCTACAGAATCGGAACATATGGAGGGTATCACGGAGCCATTCATCGATTACGACAGCATCCCGAAAGCCGAGCTGTATGTATTCAAAGGGAACGATGGCCCTGAAAAATACGAGTACTTTCACGATGCCCATATTACCGAGGAGGAATGGGAGACCCTCAAATCTCTTAATGACCCCCTGGATTGGCGCATTGTTGAATGCAACATCGACGAGCAAGGACGATGGCGCATTGTTCGTTTCCGTGACGATAAGAATGAGGCGAACCATATCAGTACCACTAAAAGTGTCCTTCAGAGCATCGAGGATAGAGTCTCAGAGAAAGACCTGTACAGAGCAGCAGGTGACATCAAGAGCGCGTGGAAGGCTCGGGCTAGCAGGGGCTCTAAATAGTAGAGTCAGTCTATGGACATGGCGTCTAAGGAGATGTTTCTGTATCGATAGGGCGAGGCGTTGGGAAAGGCATCAGGAAGATGGTTTTCGTCTTTCAATGTTGCCGATATTGGCATTTAGAACAGCTTTATGACTTGTTACTATTACGTGCACTGTTGGCTTGGGTGGTCTTAGCTGCATATCAAACCAGAACAAGATGTGTTGCAAAAGCAAAGTAATTATGTTGCCTATTAAACTTTTATTAACTATACCTAGCACCCAACGTCACCTTATCCATTACCTAGGTATGCAGCATAACCCAAGCCAAAAGCAGATTTACAGACCCCATCGCTTTGCTTTCCAGTTCCCGTGCCAAGTCCGTTGCCAGTTACCAGTCGATGAAACTCCAAGACTCCAGAGGAATGGCTTCATGTTCACATAAGTGAATCCGGAACCTTTCATCCATCGCGCAGCGCTCCCTAAAGCTGTCGGCGTATGCGGTAGCTCATTAGTGTTGATTAGAGAAGAAACATGATGACGGCAACGAGCATGACGGTGCAGCTAATGTTCGTGGTTCCACTGGTACCACCCCAGCCTCGAGGCTCAGGCTTCTTGTTGCCGCCAGAGACGGTGACAACAGGAGGTGTAGGCACGTGAGGCACCATGGGGCCATTGGCAGTGGGTTCAGGCAACAAAGTGGTATTAGCGGTTGGGTAAGGCGGGTAAGGGGATGGGGGCACAAAGATTGTCGTGGTAGAGGTGGAAGGTTCACCCTCAGTTTCGTAGACTGTCGAGATGAAGGTGCTCTCGGGAGGAGCGTTGGCGACATTCGAGGATTGCGGGTAGACCATCGTCAAAGTGTAGGTGGCACATGTTGTAATAGTACTCAGTTCCAGCCTAGGAGTAGGGGAAGTCAAAGCAGTGGTAGTGATGCTAGTAGGACTGGTGAGGGGCCAGGGTTCGTCGACGGTGATGGTGGTGAAGATACTGTTAGTGATCGGGGTTTCGAAGTCTGATCTGGTAACAGTCTGTGGATTGCCAGTGATAGTGGCATCCGGGAGCCCGCTGGTGATGAATGTATCGGTTTCGGACTTTGTAACAGTCTCTGGGTTACCGGTAACGACGGCATCCGGAAGGCCGCTGGTGACAGAGGTATCAACATCGGTTTCTGTAACAGTCTCCGGGTTACCAGTGACCACGGCATCTGGAAGGCTGCTAATGACAGAAGTGTCGATTTTGGTCTCCGTGACTGTCTCTGGGCCACCAGTGACAATGACAGGCGTTTCGGGAAGAGCAGCAGAGGTGGCTGCAGGACTTTGGTCAGGGGCTATAACGATGGTAACAGTCTCCGTCGTGGTAACAATATGCTCCTCGCAGTACTCGGTAGATTCCTCAAAGGGAGTGGACGAGGAGGAAACAGAGACCTCATCAACATAGGTAGTGCCGTGAACAGTCTCGAACACAGTCTCGAACTTAATAGTAGGTGTATGCCTGACCTCATAGATGGTAGACAGTGCAGTCTTGGTCCTGTATAGATGGTCACTTCACATGTCTTTGGTATATTTAGATGATAGGCACATACGAGATTGGGTATGAAGCATCGACAGCTTCATCGCGGCGGGCCATGGAATGTCCAAGACTAGCAGTGGGAGCTTCGGAGTGAACAACAACCCCGTTTCGAGCTTGAACTATTCGTAGTTAGTCATTTGACTGTTGTAACATAAAAAGGTCCTTACCCCATTCCGCGGCAAAAACGCCAATGCCAAACATGGCAGCGCAAAGACTGAGGCAAATCATGAGAGTGATAATGGCTTTCTTGAGGATAGAGCAGAGCTTCTTCGACTTGTTCGTCTTGGACGCGTAGAGGGCCGTCTCGCCTTTCTCAGCATCCATCACGGTCGCCACTAATGACAATCAGTCTTGGGGGCGGCATAATGAAGCGGACAACGACGTACTTGAATCTGGTTGGTAGAGCGAAATGTTGGATAATCAAAGCGACTATTTTATCAGTTAGTGAGAGATTGTGCTATGCAAAGAGCTTCAAGATTGCATGTCATGAGGAGGTGCTGCGACAAGCGTCGGTGATGAGAAAATGAAGTATGGAGAGGAGCCGAACTGAAAGGAAAATGGAATAAGGACATACCGATCGTGACGATAGAATGAAAAGCCTTTTCTGCTATGCAAGACAAATAATGTTAGACGTTGTAGTAACGAAGTTGGTGGAGGAGTGAAGAAGAGAAGAGAAGAGAGAAGGCGATGGGAAGGGGAAGAATATAAGCAGGTGGTGATTCGGAGAATAATCGAATGGGCAGGAGTAGATCACCACAGTGACAGACGTAGTGAAAGAGAAAGAATCAGTGATTCATTTCGCCGAATAGCAAGAGCATGGCGGCTTCAGCTTTCCTGTCGGCTGGTCTGCAGCTGGCAGCCAGTGCCAGATCCTGACAGTGCCAGATTTGTTCTCACCTGTCGGAAGGAACATACGCCTTGGACATGGCAAGTAATCTCGAACCCCAATTTGTTCTCTGTGACTGGGGAATAGGAAACATTGGCGGGGCCTACTTACGATAAAGTTGGTATCGGGTTAGTATCTCAGTAGGGAAGTTGGTTCGATATCCTCGATGCGGCAGGTATCAAACGAGAGTTGGCCGAAACTCGGATTAGATTGAGGAGAAAGAGCGAGTCAGTTTTATGTAGGGAAAGTAGAAAGAGAAAGAAGGAGGGAGAACATCGCTCCTGCCTTGGAAGGAGAAGCAGCTCAACTTGTACTTGACAATTTGCCATCAATCTAAAGCACTGCAGCAAAGAACCCACGCAACACCATATTCCGCTTTCATCGACGGGATATACCCCTTTCTCAGACGAGAGTAGCTTGAATAACTCCATACCTAGGTACTATACCTCACCCCCCCTTCCGACGTATCAACAACATGACTTGACGCATGACAAACGACACGGCCAAGCTTGTGCTACAGTAATATAGCCCAAGTTGCTCCAGGCCGAAACGACTGAGGAACTTCCTTACGCAGAGCCACAGAAAAGGAGATTCTGTGACAATGTCGCCTCGCGGTGAAATGAAGCAAACATGATCGTGGTTGTACATCAACGGCTATGATGGGACGACTCAAGTATTACAATGTTTCCACAACACATGCATGCTGTGTATGTGCCTACTTCTGTAACTGCCGTATTGAGAACTGTAGGGGCCAGCGTGTCTATCAGGGGAACGAGTTTGAGAGGTGACCAGACTGTAAAGGACGAGTGACAGGAATGGCAGACTCGAGAAGTGAAAGGTACGGCGATGCCTTTGTCCTCTAGTCCGTACTTGCAAACATCTATACATATGGCTCCGAACTAGGTATGCCTCAAGCATCACTACACTAACTAAGCAACGCGATATATTGTGTATAGATAAATAAACAACTCAAATCTGCTGTATGTCGAGTTCTTTGCATTTATCAACGGATAAGGTAGCATTGAGTAGACCAATGCGCCTCCAGGTGATATAACTTACAAGACTCTGATTGTTGTTGCTGGAATTGGCAGGTTTGGTAGATAACGAGTTTTAATCAGAGACTTTAGATGAGGATGTTTGCACAAGTAGTTGGGTGGCCCGAACAATATCGTAGTGCAATCTCCATAGCAGAAAGTATAAGCAAAGCCAAGGTATGAAGTTAGGAAAGAAATACTATTCTGCGTTTATATTAAGTGACTACACTATTTCGTCTCTTAGGTAGCTAGAGTCAAGCTTTTTGATACCTCGAAAGAAGAAAAACTCTCAATGAACGCGGACGTAGAACGAAATAGTGGCTTCACTTGCTTTAAAGATTAATTTTGACTCGAGAATGACGTGAACTATATTGTATTGTGTTGTATTGTTGGATCAAGACTGGAGGTTGGTGATTTATGCAGCTAGCCACAAGCATTACATCTATACCTCCACTACTAGGTAGCTCAGTAAAAGCATATAACAAGAGGATCTTATCCAATTGGTAGATTTGAGCTTCATCTACGGGTCTAACTTGACTTAGGTAGCTTCTAGTGGTTTTGGACTGCAGTCTGCACCTAAGCTCTCTCTCTCTCATACCTAACTAACTAAAGTGGAGTGGAGACCCCAAAACTAAGGTCGCGTCGCGCACACGGGCGGCCACAGCCATGGCCACGGAACACGCCTCCGCTTATCACAGAGCCTCTCCCTCTCCCACTTTCACAACTTCCATACTTTTATCAGCGGGACCAAGACAGAAACAGACAGGGACTTTGTTGTCGACGCGCAATCTTATCGCATTCATATTGTTCTTTTTACTGGTCGCTTGACTGAGTCGAAGCCCATCATATTGCATATAGCAAGCGCATGCGATGCCGTGTTAGTTAGTACTGTTGCGCACCACGAATTCTCGTATCCCAGCACGACTCGAAACTGCGACATCCACACCGTATATCGACACGTAATCCTCCAAAACTCTTCCCCAAGATCTCTTTGTTACTTGGCTCTTGGCTACAATCAAGACTCGGATTTTGTATAGCGCATAATGGCGCGACGTCGCGCGCGTAACGAGAAGCCCGCCGAGGTGGTGGAGGAAGAAGAAGTGGTCGAACAGGAAGAGGAAGAACAACAACAAGAGCAGCCTGAGGAAAACGGCCAAGGAGCTTCAGAAAATGAAGAGGAAGGCGAACAACGCAGCCTGGAATTCGACGAGGAACTTTCCTGGAAACCCGCCAAACCAATTCCCACTGGCACCTTGATAAAGCGACTGGACAAGCTATCCAAGGAGCTGTCTGAGCTTGACCAAGGCGCTACCGACCTTGATTCTCTTGCAAACGTTGCCAAACAGTTAGGTCATCGCAACTTACTTCAGCACAAGGATCGCGGCGTCAAGGCATATACAGCATGCTGCCTGGTCGATATCCTGCGACTCTGCGTCCCTGACGCACCCTTCTCTGACGACCAGCTCAAAGTGCGTATGACATAGCTATCGTCTGCATCTACATGAATGCTAACATGCACTAGATGATGTTCACTCTGTTCATTAAAGATATCCTGCCCGCTCTCCATAACCCCACGAACCCATATGACAGCCAGCACAAATACGTTCTTACATCTCTAACTGAAGTCAAGAGTGTTTTGCTTCTTCACGAAATATCCGGAGCCGATGAGCTGCTTGTGCGACTATTTAACAATGCGTTTGACGGTGTAGAGACATCTGGCTCCAAGGCAGCCACTGAGGAGCAGGTCGCCAAAGATGTCGAGCTTCATCTGACAGAGATGCTCATGCAATTGATTGATGAGTCTGGTGGCGTATCACCACAGGTTGTCGATGCTATCATCAGTCAGTTCTTGAGAGCCGCTCCTCCAGGGGGCAATCGAAACAAGGGACAGAACGGAAACCAGTCCACACTCCTTCTCAAGTCTGAGCCACCAGCCTACGTTATGGCCAAGAACATCTGCAATGGGTGTTCTGATAAGATGGCTCGCTACGTGAGTCAATACTTTAGCGATGTCATCTTCAATGCTTCTGGATTCGCAACCAAAACCAATAGTCATCGACAAACAGATGATTCTGATGAAGAAGATGCCACTACAGGTCCATCTGATGCGGACCTAAAGAGTCTTCGTCAAGCTCATTTACTCATCCGCGAGCTGTGGAGAGCTGCGCCTGCCGTTCTACTCAATGTAATTCCACAAGTCGAGGCCGAACTTTCCGCCGATAACGTCCATCTTCGTCAGATCGCGACAGAGACTATAGGCGATATGATTTCAGGCATCGGTGCTGCAGGGCCTCCTCCTCGACCTACTCTTGATCCATTAGCATATCCTCCGTTGAAACTACTAGACGAGGTTCCAGGCCCGGCCGTGGAGAATGTCCTAACAAAGCCTTACTCTCCTCAGTCTTTTGCCCAGACGCATCACGCTGCCTACCGCAACTTTGTTGGGCGAAGAAACGACAAGACAGGCATCATCCGCACCGCTTGGGTCACTGCTTGCGGTTACATACTGGCTACCTCAGCAGGAGGTATTGGTCTGAGCCGTGAGGAAGAGAACGAGCTCGTCAAGGCTCTGTGCGACAAGTTGAACGACAGCGAAGAGAAGGTCCGGCTTGCCGCAGTACAGGCCATTGAGCTTTTCGACTTCCGTGATATCGTTCTGAAGCTGGGTGCCCTTGGTGGTGTAGACAAGCCCGGCTCCATATTCGCTAGCTTGGCAGATCGATGCCGTGATAGAAAGCCAGCTGTTCGTGTTGACGCCATGGTTCTTCTAGGCAAGCTTTGGGCAGTTGGTGCAGGTGAGATTGCCGATGAGCAAGAAGCTGTCACATCTTGTCTCGGTGGCATCCCCTCCCGTATCCTCAACGCATTCTACATCAACGATTCTGATCTGAATGTTCTTCTGGATCGTGTCATGTTCGAGTGCCTGGTTCCTCTAAAGTACCCAGCTATCAAGGGTGCCAAATCGAAGTCAACCTCTCAATCCCAGAGTGCCAACAACCAGGCGGAGCAGGACAAGATTCGTTCAGAGAGAATCCTGCTGCTTCTCAAATCCCTCAATCCTTCAGCCAAAACAGCATTTTTCAATATGCAGGCTCGCCAGCCTCAGGTCGCCAAGGGAGTGGAAATCTTCCTTCAACACTGTGAAATATATAACGGCGGTGTCATTGATGGCAACGAGGAAAAGGTCAAGGCCGCCTTGAGCAGGAACTTCCAGTGGTTTGGCACATTCTTCCCTGACCCGCTCAAAGTTCGCAGCGACTTGCAAAAGTTTGCGAAAATCAACGATCGCCGTTGGTACCAGCTGATCAAATACTGTGTGAACACTGACACAGAGTACATGAATGTCAGGCGAGCCATTCACGAGTTGGTGACCAAGATTCAGGCAAGGCCTGAAGCTGCCGTTTGTCTTGATACTCTCGTTCCTCTATTATATCGCGCCAGCTCTTTGATGTACAACCGAAGCCACCTTGCTACTATCATGGACTATTCCAAGAACGACAAAGCAGGCTTCTCGACTGTCGCCCACGAGATCTTGAATGACATCTCACAACGAAACCCTGATCTCTTCAAGGCGCACTCGGAGAACCTACGGAAGGAGATCATTTCACAAGCGCCTTCAGAGAGCCAGCCCAATGAACCAGGCGTGGTGGATATCCTCAAGGCATATTCATCGTACTCAAAGAGGTACCCTGACGACATTACCTATGACAAGAAGTTCGTCCAAGTGCTCATGAACTATGCCTTGTATGGAACTCCTGCCCGGAGTGCCAAGTATGCCGTCAAGATTTTGCTAGCCAAGAACGATGATAAGAGCAAGGTCACCGCAACTACTCTCCTGCAAAGGGTCATGAAAGATTTGAAATATGGCTCACCGCATTTCTTAACGAGATTGGCCGCAGTCAGCCAACTGGAACGTATGGCACCGACTGTCACTGTAGACTTTGATGATAAGATCAACGATCTGACAATCAAGCAAATTTTACGGCAGGTCCGGACAGAAGAGGAGAAGGCCGAGGTCTCATGGGTTGAAGATGAGGAGATGAACGAAGAACTTCAGGCAAAATGCCTGTCGATGAGGACATTAGTCAACCAAGCACTTGCCAACCAGGATGATAAGGATGCTGTGGTTCGTGTAAAGCTTGTCTTCAAGCTTCTGAAGGAAATTGTGGTTGCAGAAGGAGAGTTCTGTAAAGTCAAGGACACTCCGCTAGCCCACAAGAAGCGTCTCAGGCTCCTTGCTGGACTCATGATCTTGAAGTTATGTACTGTCAAGAAGTATGATGACGAGTTTGATCCTGCCAGTTTCAACAAACTCGCCGAGCTCATTCAAGATACTGAGCTTCAAGTCCGTCGAATTTTTATGGAAAAGCTACAGAGTTACATCACCCAAGGAAGATTACGAGCGAGATTCTACACGATGCTCTTCCTGGCTGCATTTGAGCCGGCTGCAGAGCTCAAGACCCGCGTTGAGACGTGGTTGAAGTCCCGGGCCCGACTTTTTGCTGAGAATAAGACGCGCGTACTGGAGGCCATGATCAGCCGTTTCATTCCTTTGCTGGCTCACCATCCTGACTACAGCTCTGACGTTGATGATCTAGCTGATTTTGCCAACTACTTCATCTTCTACCTTAACGCGTGCGCATCAGAGGACAATATTTCGCTGATCTACAAATACGCGGAACGTGTCAAGCAAACACGAGACGCACTCAACCCTGAAGCCAGTGACCGGCTTTATGTGCTGGCCGACGTCGCTATGGCAGTCACACGCAAGTGGCAAGAAAGGAGGAACTGGGTCTTTCAGGCTTATCCAGGCAAGGTTGGTCTACCAAGCGGTATCGTTCAGACTTTGCCTTCCAGCGAAGCCGCACATGAGATTGCCCAAAAGCAATACATGCCAGAAGAATTGGATGGGAAGCTGGATGACCTGCTAAGAGCTCTGGATCGCAAGAAGGTTTGTACCGTCATTCCCCCAGTTTGTGGTCACTGCTAACATACTGTGATAGAAGCGAAAGTCAATGGGCGAAAAGCAGGACCCGCCAGCAAAGAGGGCGAGAACTCAAATTAAGACGGTGATTAGAGAAAAGCGAGAGCCAAAGCCAAGGACGCCCAAGGCCAAGGCCTCAAAACCTAAGAAGTCCAGACCGGCTAGAGATTCTCCGCCTCCTTCAGAGCGTCGTCGCAGTGGTCGAGCACATAAGATATCCACTTACACTGAGCGAGATGATGAAGAAGATGAAGAGGAGATGCTAGATGGTGTTGCCGAGTGGGATTATGGAAATGAGAGCAAGTCTGATTCGGGCAATGAGGAGTCGGAGCTGTCAGATGCTCCCGAGGTTGAGGAAGCAGCCGACAACGACAACCCATCAGACGACGAAGATCCTCCAGCCCCGGAAGAGGACGAGCCTGAACAGCCTAAATCCAACGGGCGCAATTCCGCAGCTGATTCGAAGAGCAAGACAACCACCAAGTCAACTGCGAAGGCCAACGTTGCCGCCGAAGCAAAGCGACCAACTAGGGCAACGAGATCACGACGGGGCAAGGACGCAGAAGATATGGATGTTGATGCCGAGGAGTAGTTAAGAATGCGACCAAAAGAGGAAGAAGTTGAAAACATGGTAATGAGTGTTTTGGAATGATGCTTGTTTCTTCAGAGGTGCTTGTGGTGTTTCTCTTTCTTGTTATATATAGGCTCAAGAGTGAGCGGGATGCGGAGGCTGACTTCTATCTATCATCGTTGGGCAGGAGTCTTTGGTTTGTATCTGTATTCGTACTCTCGTATACCCTCTCTTCTGGGACTACCAATCATACTTTGCTGTTTTGACATCCTTGGTTCACATGTTGTGGTCGCACTCCAGCTTGTATTTTGGTGATTCATGTTGGGAATTTATGAACATCGGTCCAGCATTTAGAAACCAAAGATTGAAATAAAAGTAAGCGCTTCACTGTTAATATTCACTCCCTATCCCAACCCAGCTGTACAGCGCCTAATACTTCCCTGTCGTATCAAGACTCCAAACAGACATACCAGCCCATAAGGAGGGAGACATATTTGTTCATCGCACCCATACCCTATGACCTGACCATCCCATTCTCCCTCTCTGCTCGAGGTGCTATGGACAAAAAGAAAATGATTTAGAAAAACACCCGGGACTCTGTCTTTTAAGAAGCATAACTTGCATCAAAAGAAGAAAAGAAAGCAACGCCACCTTGTCGTCTAATAAGATACAGCCCACACAAGTGTTTGGATGGTGTTCCCATTTGAGTAACGCCCAGGTAAATAGCAAACTCAGGGGTTGGCCTCCCTTGCCACACGCTTGGCAACCGCGTTCTTGTGGCCCGAGAATTCAAGATGAGCCTCGAACTTCCGAACCGTCATATCAGGGCCGGGTGTGTAAAGTTTGCTTGTGCAATCCAGACAACGAATGCGCGGCAACCAAGCATACTTGACACCCTCAGGCAGTGGTTGGCCTTGAATAGGCAACTCCGTCACGGGGTCGAGATAAGAGTATTTCATCATGGCTTCAAACCTATCGCCACGGTTGTATGTCTTCTCTAATTCTTTAAGGGCATTAACAAGCCATTCAGGGGGTGGGGGCTAAGGAAGAAATTGTCAGTACTAAACTTTAAAGTCCGTTTCATAGAACAGTTTGGTGACTTACTTGTGGCATAGAGGCAGATTGTCCGGGCACTGTCGGGGGGGCCGGTAGTCGACCTATCTGACCTGGAGGAAGCGATGAGGAGGGTGTCATCGGCGCATGAGGGGTAGCACTGGATGGTGTGGAAGGCGGTGGTGGCATGGATTTTGAGGGAGCAGAAGCGCTGGGAGCTCGCGGGAAGGCAACTGGCGTTTGAGATGATGCTGTTAAGTCGGAATAATCACGGTTCATCAACCGTCTCAGCTTATCCTGGCTAAGCTTGAGGGTCACAATTAATTGCGTGGGCTCTTCGGTTTCTTCTCTGAATCGGCGGGAGGTTCTAGTTTCGTGATGATGTGTGATTGCGCTAGCTTCAGGGGTTTCAGATCGACCAAGGTTGGCCATTCTCTGCTGAGCAGCAGATGCAGCACCGCGCATGCCGCGCGTTCGAGCAGTACCACCGGTAATTTGTGAGGGAGCAGGTGAGTCAGGAGCCGAGTCCTCACTATCGTCGGATTCAGAAAGGTCTCCATCCCGCACAGGACGCTTCATTCTGGGACCAGCAGCTCTCTTGTACAAACGGCTCTCATCAATGGTGGCTGCGGCCCCAGGTAAAACGGATGAGACAACAAGCGTTCGAATGGTTCTTTGCCTCTCTCTAAGATCGGGCAGTTGAGGACCACCCCGTCGATTAATCGATCGCTTCTGGCGTCGCTGCTCGCGGGAGAAGATCGTCTCGTTTCTTTCCAGGTCTGCCTCGCTAAGCTCGTAGAGATATGGTGCATAGTCCTTGGCCTGTTGTTGGGGTCGGAAGACAGTCGGGAGGGGGGTCTGCAAGAATGCGCCGACAAGATCAGGATCCTCAATTGGGCGTCCGTCAAAGGGATGACCGACGCTATACAAGCTGCGAGTAAAGAGTTGCGTTTGCTCCCGGATACAATGTGCAATGGCGGTCGTGAACTCTCCCGATAGAGAGAGATCCCGCGCCATATTAGCTGCAAACTCCTCTGGTGAGTTTGAGGGGTTGTTGATCTCCCATTCAAACTGATCGACAAGGGTATGCTGGCCGATTGTGATGTTCAGTTTGATGAGGACTCGCATCTCATCGTTTTTGTATGCTGAGTATGGGAGTTCGGGGTCCAGCGCATCGTCCTCAGAGTATACCAGGGGGTAAAAGTCATTAAGCTGCTCGCGCATTTGGTGCACAACCTGTTCATATACTGGTTGCGATGCAGGCGGCTTCAGACCCATATCTTCAACGAGCTGTGCCGCAAACAACTCGACTTGAAGCAGTCTCTCGTGTAGATTCCACGTAAATGTATCACGCAGCTTAATCTTATCCCATTCGACTTCCAACCGCAACGGCACCAGTTCCTCATGTTGCTCGGCCTGTTTGAGCATATCCTTGCGCTTGTACTTGAGAGGAGGCGTCGTTCGTTGGCCGGGTCGTTGTTTCTGGGAGGGATAGACAATGCGCGACTGTCCTTGGTTCTCTGTATATCCATTGCCGAAGCCATTATAGCCTTCACCGTATAGCCTTGATGGAGGAAACCATTGGCGATAGTCGGTGCGAACCTGGCGATACTCTTGGATCTTGTCCCGCGTGTCGCTCATTATTTTACGGGTCTGGTCGAGTTGACCACCGAGCGCGGCCGCGGCGATGGCATCACGGGTGATGAATCGCTCCACCATCAGCTTATCAAATGACTCCTTGGTGCGCACTGGCATATTGCCCGGTGAGTTTGAAGAGGATGCATCTTTCTCAGAGCCTGTGGCAGATGCCGGGCCTGTAGCCGGCGCCGTCGACGAGGACGCGGACGGCTGAGCAGCCATATTTGGAGGGTTTACGGGGCGTGGATCGCGGTCGCGGGTCGCGGCGCAGCGGAAGGGCCGCGTCGGAGAGGGAAGAGCAGAATTATTAGAGATTGCACTCGAATCGCGATGCGGATTTAGATGGGCGGGTTCGTTAAGTTAAAAGAGTTGACCTTGGCGGGTGGATTCGACGTTGTTGGGCGAAAGTCTACCTTGAGTTGAAAAGGCGCGAGGCTTGAGGATTTGTTCAGTTCAGCTGCAACTGCAAGTAGCAGACTGGGAGGATTCTGCGGTGCCGCGACGGGACCTAGAAGCTGCTAACCTACAACTATTATGTGGCTAGTGGCATGTCTCAGTGTACATTCTGGTCCACCACCGATGCGGCAAAAGTAATGTACAGCTACTCGACTGCGCCACGTCGGTATGAAACGCATGTGGCGTGTGTATTGTATGCTGCAGAATATCGTGAGATTCATTTGTTATTAACTCCTACCTACCATATTATCATGGATTGGGTCTTTTAAGTCAGTAACTTATAACATTGCACGTAAAGAAGGGGTTCTCTATATACTCTTACGACGGCGTGCACTTATACACTAGATACCCGTTACTTGGATTGTAACGTCGACCGACAGTGGGAAATCAGAACCATGGTTTTTAGACTTTAACAATGAAACCAGAGCCCAACTAGAGTTTTATCTTGTACGATAAAATCTTAACACCGTCTTGAGTAGTATGAATATCTATATATATAGTACGTAAGGTTAAAAACTGTTCCTGAGTCGATGGACAGGTGAGATCGTATAGGGTAATCTGCTTAGAAGTAACGGGACGGGAGTGACCGAAAGCCCAATATGGAATAGGGCTAGATGAAGTCATACCTACTAACCTACTGATCACCAAGTAAAGATAGTACGGTGCTCCCTCCCTGTGCCCCTGGTGTGTTGAGTATTAGGTAATTTGCATCAAGGGAAAACGGTGATGGATATTTGTCTTGAGATCTCAGATGGAGAACGAATAGAAATTCAATCGTTCAATTGATTTATTGCATGACAAGACGCAGTCATATACTCAACCTTCACTTTATGGTTTACAGTACCATATGCATCGGGGTGGCGCTTGGTTGCTCGCACAAAGGCAGTTGCCCACACGACACAAGATCCATCGATACAAAGCAGAGCAGAGTTGGGATGACCAAAGCCTGACAGCACAATGTCAATTCAAAGTGTCTCATATAAGAAAGAAATCAACATATCACAAGATAGAGCTCAGAATCTGGTGGATAAATATGTCCACTCTCACTCTCTCTCTCTTCCTCGTATTAACTCCAAAGGAACCCCTCCATCCATCAAACTTACTGTACCTATACGGATAGGTGCTAACTCATTAAACCCTGCTGTCGAAGCCCTCCAGCTCAATCCCCACTTCCCATTCCAGTCGTAAAACCCACTGGCTCCAGCTACCTGACCTGACCTGACCTATTCCATTCTGATTCTGATTCTGTGCGACTGACCTGCTCGAGCTTTCATCCACACTGCCCCGGCATTTGCAGTTCTTCATTTTTTCTTAAACCCAACCGAGTCAAACAGAAAAATTGCCCACCATGTCGTCGGAGAACAAGGAAATCGGTAAGTCTTTTCCCTCAGGTTGAGTCCTGAAATACAATCACATCCATTCATTATACACGAGTCCAGCTCAAGCTCCTGTCTGCACAGTCAGCTGCTGTTGCTGCTACCCCTCGTTACCTTACTTCACCACTTGCTGCCCCGCCATAACAGCAAACTGGGCAAGCCATTCACTCTTGCGAATGCCCTCGTCATCAATGCCCCACGATGGCCTCGCATTGAGCTCTGACATACTGACACCTATTTTTTAGATTACTCTCTGGCTAACCCAGACACCCTCACAAAGTACAAGACCGCTGCTCAGATCTCCGAGAAGGTTCTTGCTGAGGTTTCCAAGCTCGTTGTTCCTGGCGCCAAGATTGTCGATATCTGCCAGCAGGGAGACAAGCTCATCGAGGAAGAGGTTTCCAAGGTCTACCGAGGAAAGAAGATCAACAAGGGTTTGTCATACTCGAGTCTGACCCTGACGACATAGCTAATGCTGCTCCAAAGGTTTCTCCCACCCCACTACCGTCTCCCCCTCGTCCTACGTCACTCCCTACACTCCTCTTACCTCCGACGAGGCTGAGGCCAGCGCCGAGATTAAGGATGGCGAGGCTATCAAGATCCAGCTTGGTGCTCAAATCGATGGCTTCGGTTCCATCGTCTGTGACACTGTGATCGCCACCCCCGAAGACAAGGCTGGCGAGAAGATCACTGGCCGAACTGCCGACCTGGTCCTCGCTAACTACTACATCAACGAGGTCCTTCTGCGATTGATGATCCCCCCTGGTCTCCTGGCCCAGGGCTCTGATGAGGAGAAGGCCAAGGCTGCCTCCCAGAAGGCTCCCACACAGGCCAAGATCACCAGCCTCCTGGAGAAGGTTGCCAAGGCCTACGAAGTCAACATTGTCGAGAGCACCACTTCGTGGCTTTTCGACCACAACGAGATCGAAGGTAGCAAGAAGATTGTCCTTTCTCCTGCCGAGGGCACCAAGGGTGAGGGTGTTCCTGAGGTCGGTGAAGTTTGGGGTGTCGAGGTCGGTGTCAGTCTGGGCTCCGGAAAGGTCAAGGGACTCGACCAGCGTGCTACTCTCCACCGCCGCACCAACCAGACTTACGGTTTGAAGCGACCTACTTCTCGCAAGATCCTCAACGAGGTCCAGAAGAAGTTCGGTATTTTCCCCTTCAGCTTGCGACAGCTTGAGGACGAGCGTGACGCCAAGTCTGGTGTCGTTGAGTGTGTCCGAGGAAACGTCTTCCGCCAATACGAGCTCGTTGGTGACAAGGACAACTCCCCCGTTGCCCGATACCTTACAACTCTCGGTAAGTAATACTCCACGCAACAAAGACAAGGTATATTGCAAGAGTTGAAGATACTGACGCAAACTCAAGCCATTACCAAGAACGGTATTACCAAGCTTGGTGGCCCTCCTGCTCTGGACCTCGAGAAGTACGAGACCGACAAGAAGATCGAGGACGAGGAAATCCTTAAGATCCTGGAACAGCCCATGGCCCGAAACACCGGCAAGAAGAAGAGCAAGCCCAAGAAGAAGGCCGCCAAGAAGGAGGGCGATGAAGAGTAAAGTACATGGCATCAAAATAGCTGTTGAAGAGTTGCGGAAAGATCAAGGATCCAAGGACGGATGAAGCAAGAAGCGCAAGTCAAACGGGATGCATATCGGCAGCTTGGGTCACCGACTTACCCAGCATTGGATGGGCTATATATATGAAGGAAAACATCTTCATAAGAAAACCGTCGGAAGGCTGAAAGGGACGACAGAAACCGCCAAAACCGACGTCAGCCATTTTGATCAGGTGGTGTGATCCAGCCAGAATATATAGAAATCTCACACAGCCCGATACTGATCAACTATGAATGTATTTGTGATGCACCTTGCAGGACCCGACACATCTATTGGTGATGCATGCATCTTTCGAACACGACGCCATGGGGAAGACCAAGACTCGCCGGAAGATATTGGGCGGCGATGGTCGCAACAAGCCGACAATGACTAAACCAACAGTAATGCGTTCGTACGCCCAGGGGTAGTTCCGAAGTACCAACTCGGCGTGAATCACAAAATGTGGGATGTCTGCTCATGGCGTATGCCCCCTGAATGCACATGATTTATGACGAGGTGCGGTGTATGGTAGCAGAAAGCGGAGAGAGAAGTCAGATAGGCAAATGCCAGTCACCAACCAAGTGGCTGGTGATTTGGTTGCCTAAGTTGCTGTGACTTGCGGCTAGAGGAGGACACTACAGTACACTCTAGGGTTATCCAAGCACAGCACTAACAAACAAACAAGCCAGTGCTGAATGGACAGAATCGCCAATGGCTTCCCGTGCTCTGGACGGTAATCTATCCGTCACAGTGGCCTCAATACTAGAGTTGTCCAGGCGCAACGGTGGTTGATGGAGGTGGCCAGAGGTTACCCCTATTTTGATCATGTGTCAGTAGGTATCTATCTACCATAACTTCCTCTTTCCCAAGAAATTTAAAGTAGTATGGCGTAACTTTCATGACAATAGTGTATAAGGAATTCAAGCTACAGTAGGTACTTTATTTTACAGTCCTAAGATGGCGAGCTTGAGCTAGTGAGCGGGTGGATTGTAGTGGTGGTTGCTAGGGGAGAGAGCTGGAGCTCTTATCCATCTTTTGTTAGTGCTGGAGCTTCCCTATCTTACAGAACTAAAAGCAAACGGTTGAATACAAGATTGAAAGATGAACCACCAGAGAGCCGCCGAGTAAAATGAAGAAAAGGTAGGATACATCTCATAGGGAAGAGTGATAGGAAAAAGAAGACATTAAATTGGTGGATGTAAATAAATGAGTAAATCCTGGGCACGGCAGGGAGAGCTCGAGCTTCAGGTGCTACAGAAACCACTGGAGGAAGGGGTACCGTCAACATTGGGTCATAAACCATCACATGGGATTTTACTATGAATTAGGTGCTATTGGTAGGTATAGCAGGTTCATTACGGATACAGCACAACCAACAAAGGAATACCACAAATAAAGACGGAACAAGAAACGAAAAGTTTAGGCTGCCAGTGCCAGAAACTCTTTTTTTTTTCTTTCTCACTTCCTGCCCTTCCTACAGTCCTGGGTTACCTTGGACCCCCCTTGTCCCTTGTCCGACCCGCGCCGTCAGCTCCGATGCATGCACTGACACTGGGTATGGGTCCTGTCTTTCAAGTCGAGGCGACGAAGCAAAGCAGAGTAAAAGCCCGAGTCTCAACCTGCAACGAAAAGCAACCCACTCACTCATTCACTCTTCAACAACTCGCGTCCACGACCTTGAAAGACGCGATAATACGGCAGTAATTCATGCTGCTTTCTAAGTGAAAAGTAAAAATATTACACTATTTACCCCTATTCAATTTTGTGCAGCCATGCTAACCACTATTCTTTTCAGTAGGCCTAGAGAGGTGCGCTGCCCGTTCCACGGCAACTGGCACACGCAGGCTGCCCGACACCCTCCAGGACAGGGCAGGACCGGACAGGACAGAACCAGGCAAGCCAAAGCCCGGCACAATGATTTCTTCAAATACCCGCGCCACACGATCCCGTTATTCGAGTCCGGCGCAATCGCAAAATACTAAATGGAATGGGGTCCTCGACGCGTCTAAGGGGGCGACGGAGAGCTCAAGGGCATTTATGCAGCGCTGGCTAGAGCCGAGCGTGCAGAGCAAGGCGAGCTTCGAAGATGACGGGCTGGTGCGCTACGGCGTGGTTGAGAATATGGCTCCTTTGGGAAGTCTGCCAAAACCCAAGAAGACGGGACCCGAAACAAGTTCTGGCGTTAAAAGGATTATATTGAGGCCGTCAGGGGCAGGTGCTGCCAAAAACTCGGCGCATGTCGCCGCGACTGACCCTGTTGTGGATGTTGACGTGGACGCGGATGCGGAGGCGCATGTGGATGTTGCGATTACGGCGAGAGCGGCAGATTCTTCCCCTCCACCCGTCACCTTGCCCCCTACACCGCCACGGAGGGTATCTATCGTTCTCAAAGACGCAGCAGCAGCAGCAGACGACGAGGACGACGAAGATTACGATCCCAGTCGCCCAAAACGACGTCAGTCTGGCCGTGCATCCCTGGGAAAACGGACGCGACGCTCTTCGGCCGGTCGCAGGAGCTCTACTGTGACTAAGCCGACGGCCAAGGGGTCAAAGGAGCGCAGAGGATCTGAGAAAGAGATCAAGGCAGCAGTGACGGTAGCTGCAACAGCAGCCGAAGCGGGAGCCACAAAAGTCATCCAGGATTCCGAGCAAGAGGACGAAGAAGACGAGGCAGACACAATCCCAACAGAGGCGACAATTCACGCAGCTGAACCTGTGGAACCCGAAGACAAAGAATTCGCAGACAAGGTTGTTGAAGCTGCAGTGGACGAAGCTCTCAAACATTACCGATATCCGACCGCGTGGGCGCTGCGGACCCTCTACGACGAAAAATCAAGTGACCCTCAGTTCGTTGCCATGATTGAAGACGTCTTCACCCAAACAGCGGATGAGGCTACGATGCGCAAATTTTCCAAGCAAATGGAAAAGAAGAAGCGAGAAGGCAAGAAGGATAACCAAGGATGCTATTACTTTATTCCTCCAACCACCAACAGCAGATTTACTCCCCACAAACCCAAGGCAGCACCGTATAGCAAGCTGCTGCTTCACAATCAAGTAGAGGAGGTGGTTGAGGTGGCAGACATTGAGACAGAGGAAGAAGAAGAGGAAGAGGAGGAGGAAGCAGAGGAACAGTTTGTCGATGAAGAGGAGGAAAAAGAACAGGGAAGCAATCAACAACCACCAGCTCGAGCCGCCAAGAGGGCAAAGACATCACATTCTCGCACTCACTCTTCTTCTCACTCATCCAAGACCCAGACTCAAATTCAAAACCAAACCCAAGCCCAAACCCAGGCTCAGGCAACCCGCAACACACCACGAAAAATGTCCTTCGATAACCCACCCCAAACGCCCTCGCGCAAGCGAAACAGGCGAGATTCGGCCTCGAGCGACTCATCTCTCTCGTCAGCTCTCAGCCTGTCGTCGCCTGAGGCCATCATGGGTAGCCCCAGCCCGGTTCGTCGAGGGGGTACCGGTCGCCCTGGACCCGACTCCAGTGATGCGCCAAAACCTCGGCCAATCACCACCCGCCGCAAATCAGTCGCCTCCAAGACAGGTACCACTACCAGTAACAAGTCCAAGCCTAAGACCAAGGCCAGTACCAAGACCAACAAGTCTACTAAGCAGCAACCATCATCACCCACCATTCCCATCTCAAACACCAGCACTCACATTGACGCTGATGCACCACCCGCAAGTGCGACCATCAGCGTGAGTGCCGACGCCAGTATGCCGGGACGAGTTCCTGCTGCACAAATCTTTCCCAATCTACCTACCAAGTCAAAGACAGGAAAGAACAAGGCATCATCTGCCCCTGCGGATGACACTCTCGCCAGTCATGATAAAGACGAGTCATTTTGGGACAGAAGACGCGATGCGCAAAAGTTTGCCAACAGTGTTACGGCCCAGGAAAGCTCTGTTCGAGGAGCAGAGGTCGACGAGGAGCTTTTCACAACTCCCGCAAAGTCGACAAGGAAGACGCGTCAATCCGCCGCTGCCTCTACGGCGACGACAAGATCTACACGGTCAGCTAGCAAGAGACCTCATGATGAGATCGACACTGCCGTGTCTCCTGTTGCGTGGTCTTTCCAGCGCGATGAGAGGGACAGCTCAGCCGGAGGATCACGGGCTGCGACGCCCACGCTACGCCCCCCAAAGAAGCCGAGAACTGGCCTTCGTGTCAAGTCATCGTAAGTCACACCCGAATCATCATCTTTATCACCATCTGCATCGCTTCAGTCATGAGTATCATGATAGGTATTATCAGAATGCTCCTGGCCGTGGATTTTCCAAATGTCTCCTTGATTTATGAGAGATCACGGAACGTCTATGCAACCAGGCTCATCTCTTCATTACCTGCAGTCATTTTCTCGAGATGCCTTAGTTACACTCTTTCCCACCACCTCTTAGTTCCCCAGATCATGCTAACCATGTCTTCAATCTAGTCCCATCAAAAAGAGAGGAGGAGGAACTGCTGCTGGAGTACCTCGGCCGCTGGGAGAAACCCCTACAACGAACGGCATAGCCAAAGATCAGGTATGTTCTTACTCTGTTCACTGTTCACATGTTCCGCAATCGCGGGGAAAAAATTGCTCTGGTTTGAACTGGCCTCGTACGCTCTGGATGGCCAACATCATGGAGTTTGCTGGGAAATTCACCAGATGGTGGCCAATTTTGTGCTGTGCCTTGTCTTGTCGGGCCAGGATTACCAACGGGGTAATCTCTCGTGGTCCCCGAAGATCCGCTTTTCCGAACCAGCCCCCAGCATTTGAATCAGCAATCAGGACGTGTTGAAACGCGAACTGCAGCGCATGGTGAACACAATACGAACTTGAACATAGTTGACTAATTCGACCCCCCTTTTCCAGGTATCGGATAATGACGAAGATTGCTCTGCCTGCGGTGCTGCTGGAGACGTCGTTTGCTGCGATGGATGCCCACGGTCATTCCACTTTGAATGCGTGGGAATGATACCCTCAGATCATCTCCCCGATGAATGGTTTTGCAATGAGTGCTTGTATAAGCGATACCCCTCGCGCATGCCTGCTTTCAAGGGTGTCTTTGCAGCTGCTCTTACCAATCTGGAGAAGAGCATTCCTCGTGCCTTCAGCCTCCCTAAGAAATTACAGACCCGCTTTGAGGGCGTCAAAGCTGCAACTGATGGCGATTATGAAGAAGTTATTACTTCAAAGACGACCAAGTGAGTGACGCTTATTTGCAAGGGAGAAGTCAATCTGTACTGACAAAACTTTCAGGAAGAAGAATGGCTATGAAGAATTGCCAGACTTTTTCAAGCAGCGTGATGAAGGGCAAGCAGTGATCTGTCATGGCTGCCAAAAGCCCGCTACGGATGTGCGAGCCATCATTCCGTGCAGCGTCTGTCTATTCTACTGGCATATCGACTGCTTGGACCCTCCTCTTGCTGTTCCGCCTGTACTCAAGAATTGGCGGTGTCCTTTACACCCTGAAGAGATCATGGCCGATGTCCGTCCACTTGCACCAGCTCACCGTTTCCGAAAAATCAAAGGTGCCCAGACTATTGTACCAGCTTTCTCGCGAGGCATCAAGAACAACGGGCATATTGAGGTGGATTGGAGCGACGAGTCTGATATTGAATCTACAAACAATTCCGGCTGGCCAGATCCCGACTCATTCGGCCGAGCCTACAAGCTACCAGCTAAGGGCATCGTGCTTGATTTTATTGAGCAGTAAGTATAGCCACTTATTCTGACACAACATAGTCTAATCCTGATTTTCAGATTACGTCGCCAAGATGCTGGTTACGGCCCCAGGCGTGATGAATCTCGATGGGTATCTACTTTTCCCGCTGGGAGAGATCCAAACAGACCTCTTGCAGGTTCTGAATTGCAGCGAAGCGTGGACGAAATGCAACTGGCTTTAACTTTGACCAGTCTCAAGGAGCGCAAATCAGACGGCGTTGACTACTTGGTTACGGCCCTACTGGTAAGTCGTGGCAATCCGCTCATCCACACGTCTTACTAACGATCGGTCGATAGGATGCCGCTGATCCTAGCGTCTTATCTCTCATGACAAAAACAGATGCCAGCAACATTTCGACTGGCCACTTAACAGATAACGACAAGCTTAGTCTGCGTGCTCTTCTTACTCAGATGGACGCCATGGGAAGTCGTATTCGACAGCTTCTTGGTGAGCCCGATGGTGTCTCTGCTTCCATGCTCGAAGAAGATGTCATACCAAGTATTCTGTCTCCCCAAGACTCGGCCATTGCTGAGCCACTTGACAAGGTTACGGCACTTCCAGTTACCGAGCCCACTCCTCCATCCACTATTGATCACGCCGAAGGCGCCATGGAACTTGACTAACGATTTCTTTTCCGGATAATTGACCCTGTCGCCCCGTAAGAGTAATCGTGGTTTTCTATTAACCATACCAAGCGGGATTGGTACTCTATTTGATTACACTATAACACTATCTCAACAATTTCAGAGGCAAGGAGACCTCTGTACGAACTTGTTGCGGCTCGGAAGTCCTTGTGCAGGCAGTGCACAATCGACCACTGCTCACATATTTTTACGTGGCCTTTTTGACTACCTACATATCGCCGGAGTTTGGAGGTTTCTGCTATTTGAATCATTGCCCACGACTATAGATACTTCTGGATGCTTTTTGTTGATCGATTTGACCACCCATCCTCTTCGCGCTATGGATCTGTTTCATCAAACAACCAGTCATCACCGATTTGCGCCCCTATTGCGTTTTTGTTCGGTTTTTTTCTTTTTCAAAATTCTATATTATGCACGAAATGACCCTTGTTTCGCCACCATGGCGAAAGCTCAGTAGCAAGAAGCGGGCAGCGGGATGCTAGATCATCCAAAAGCGTTGCTCTAATTGCTCTTTGTTGTATCATAGTCGAGAGCAGGCGAGGCACACAGCATGGAAGTGAGACTGATCGATTCAGCCACCTAGAAGGAAGGGGTACAGAGGCAGATACGATGAGTACTTGGTACTGAAAAGAATAGGAGATAAGATATATGACTTTTAATCACCTTCAGTTTGAAACAGACATATCGATGAGACCGATTTATGCTAGTTCTGTATCAACAATTGAGACATGTACGATGCTTGTAGCCCACCGAGCGGTCTAGGTTCTGATGTCAGCGCCAATCTAATTGAACTTCCATAAACAACATCAATTGCTAAGTCATAAAAAGCTACAAGACGTAGATACGTCAGAATGCTCTTGCAAATCTTTTTACTATACAACAATCCTCTGAAAGATATGGCTTGCAAGTGTAGCCAGTCTCACAAAGGTTATAAGATAAACCACCTTGGCATTATTCGTAATGCCCCAACATTCTTTTTCCCAAAGTCTTGCATCATCTCTTTCATCAAAACTGACATTGAGCTGGTGAGGCCTATAAGAAAGACTCAGGTAGAGAGTCTCATGGGCCCATAAGAAGACAAACAGGTCAAGAGTTAACCGCCGCTCTGAACAGAATCGTGTAATACTGAATTTCTTCGTTTAGGTTTTATTTTTTCTCGGGTTCGTTTAATCGTAGAAGTGGTCCTGCTTGATCTCCAATCTTTAGGCGACGGTGCCAACACTTTCAAGACCGGCCTGACGTGAGTCCCGTAAGCAGAAAAAGAAAGGAAGCAAGTATAGAAACAAGAAGACAGGCATCCAAAGTTGAATAAGGGAGCCTCGAACCATTTTTGAGCCGTTTTCATGAATGCATGTGTCTTCGCTGCGTTGGCACCCCAAGCAAGAACACCGTAACTCCTCATGGCGTCGTGTGCCTGGACTGATCTGGAAAGTAGGAAGAAATCCGCAAAGATCGGTTCAACACGGTCTGAATCCCCTAAAGCGATGCGAAACTAGAGTCGTCTTGATCATCTCTGAAAAAGTTGATTAGCCCCCTCTTCTTTGTTGCCCGTTGCGAGACTGAGGTTGTCTTACACGGCCTCGTCTACCGTTACCCTGCTCCTGTTGCATGTATCCCATGTTGGGCATACCCCCCATGTTTCCGTAGCCGTAGTTACCCATTCCCATGCCAAATCCTGGAGGGGCGAAAGGGGTTTGACCGGCGGGCATCTGAGGCATCTGCGAAACAGGCGGCTGGATAGGGCTTCCGTTAGGCATGTTCTGCTGGCGGTACTGGTCAACGGAAGGGTTAGGTCCATTGAAGCCACCATATCCAGCCTGCATAGGAGGATAATTATAGTTCATGGGGGGTGGACCGCGGTTCATCATCTGCTGATACTGCATTGGCTGCATATTGGCAGGCATTGGGCCACCGGGCGTGTTGTACATCATGCCCTGGTTGAACTGAGGGAATGCAGAAACGCCACCCTCCGCAGGCTCGTTCCTTTGACCTCCATATGGCATATCAAATCCAGGAGGGTTAGCTGGCTGGTTCATAGGATTGTAGAATGGCTTGTTGGAGTGTGCAGAGTTAGGGTGATGACCGTTGGCGTTCGCCTGCCTGGATGATGGACGTTGGCGTTGCTCAGCGTGGGTGCTGGCTTCACGGTTATTACCGGCGCTGCGGGTGGATAAGCCAACTTCATCCATTAGGCGCTTGTAACCTTGGTTGGGCTGGGCCTTGATTCTGACGAGGACGTTCTTGACATTCTCTACGACCTGATTGCGGATAGACTCATCGAAGAAAGGCGTCGTAAGCACCTTGAAGATGAGAGTAGCGCCGCATTGATGATCCTTCAGAATAGCCTCCAGCACGTGATCATTGGGCGTGAAGAACAGGGCTTGAAGAATAGCATCCCGAGCATCTGCCTCTGCCTTCTGGTTGATGACCTTTAGTACGGTGAGATAGGCAACCTTGTGGGTACAAAGGTGAACCAGGTAAGGCACAAGTTGGGGCGATAGGACTGTTCGACGCTGAGGGAACGTGCAGGTGTCCAAGAACCAAGTCAGGAGAAGTGCGCCATTGGCGTTGGTCGCCAGCTGCACACTGTTGAGAGCGATGGCAGCAGCCAGCATTCGCTGCTGGTCCTTGGTTGAATGGTGACTTTCGAGACAAGCTCTCATAGCACGAGCACCGTATCGGCCCTGGGCGACCTCCCACATACGGGCAAGCATAGTCTCAAAAATAAAATCGTTATAGGGGGCGCCAAACTTAAGGCAGCCCTGAAGAACATAGTTGCCGTACTGATCCAGGAAAAGAGGAATAGTGTAAGGGCGGATGTGTTCAACAATCAAAGACATCTGAGCAGGAGTCTTGCAAACATCGATAATCTTCTGGGCTGCCCAAGTGCCGTTCTTGTGAACACCAATCTCAGCCATGTGAGGAGCAATCTCAGACAGCATGGCATCACGAAGCTGATCAGAGCAGTGTTCGAACAACTTCTGCACCACTGTGTTACCCAGATAGTCAGACGAGAGTTCGGCAATCTCGGGAAGCATGTCGACGGCAATGTTTTCGATCTCGGCTTGGGATAAACTCTGGTTGTCAATTCGCTTGCGAATATCCCGAAGTTTGGGTGCATCGTGGACACGAGTGTGAGCAGGCTCACGAATGGGAGGAATTTCCTCCACGAACGAGTTAAACTGGATGGCTGACTGGAGGTTGCGAGAGATTCTGAACCTGTCCTCCTCGGAGGCACCAAACTGCTTGACAATATCGAGGATATCCGTGGTCATCTCACGAAGAGAAGGAGCCTTTGGTGCTGTGTTCGTGGCAGCAGAGGCTGAAGCAGTCTCGCCGGCAGGGGTAGTGACATTTGTACCTTGGGCACTGTCCTGTCCTTTGGAGAACGGATCAGGGCTGGGAGATGGGAATACTCCATCGTGGCCAGGGGTGTTGGACGCAGACGGTGGCTTGGCGAAGTTGATACGAATAGGCCCGGCACCGGGGAAAATTTCCTTGCTGTTCATACTGGCTTTGGCCGAGATGGCGCTTTCCACCCTCTCAAAGTTGACGAAACCACAGTTCTTGTGAGTGAGAACCCGGGCCGAGAGGATAGGACCATGGGATTTGAACATCTCAATCAGAGTTGACGTAGTGGTCGATGTGGGAATGCTGCCCAGCCAAAGTGCGCTGGTAGGACCTTCGAGGCCCTGCTCGTCAGCGCCGAGGAGGCCTGCATTGCGGCTGTTCGATCTACCAAGATTGATCCCGGCAACAGCTTGAGGGAGATCCTCGTAATCTTTGTCATCTTGCAGACGAATTTCAGCTGGGGCGACGGGGTTGGAAAGGCCAGAATTGCCAGACACGTAGGTTCGCATCAACCGACTTCCAGGGGTATCCAAGACTCCAGCGGTGCGGGCCCGGGGTCGATTAGCTGAGGCTTGGTTGGCAAAAGCTTGAACAGCGAGGTTGTGATTGTGAATGGCGGCATTGGTAGCAGCTAGCTGATCTTGAAGTGCCGCAACATACTGGGGATCCAGGGGCATATCGGCATCATAGTCGTCCTCGTCGTCGGCATATTTGTCTTTGTTATTGACTGAGTAAGATCGGAATCGGCTTGCCTGCTTGGTGAAGTCGAGATTGGCCAGGTAAGGAGTCGCTGCGAGCTGTGCACGGGGAGGCTGCGGGGTCTCTGCAAGACCAAGATAATCCAGAGTTCTCATATGGACATCTGACTCACCGCCTCCTTCCTTGGAGAACTGGGACTGAGCAGGAGAGCTAGGACCATTGGAACCAACACTAGCAATGCTGGCTAAGGTAGATGCTCTTTCACGACCAACGCCTGTAGGGTTCCAGCTGCTAAAGATCGAAGGACCAAAAGGCGAATTGGTTCCAGGAATTGGGGCGTACTGGCTCCTCTGGGGCATGGAACCGGCACGGAGGCGAGAAAGAAGGGTCGAACTGTTGGAGGGGTTCTCCTGTCCGTCAGGGTTAGGAGAAGGCGACTTGAAAGGGCTCTGAGTCGGCGTGGGCCTGTTGGTCTTGGCAGCTAAGCCAGGCACGCCAGGTATGCCGTTACCGGCACCCCCAGGAGAGAAACGAGAGGGCACTGTGCCGGCGCGAGCACGTCTCGTCTGAGGCATCGAGTCCGGTGTAGGAAGCTGAGCAAAATCTGGAAACCCATCGGTTGGGGACTCGGGAATATTCTCGCGTAGCGGCGTAGAGTTACCGCTTGTGGGAGGGCCGCCCCAAAGAGGCATACCTGATACACCTTCCTGGGCCTGGATCTCACGAGCTCTATGGGACGGAAAAGTCTATGTCAGCGGCATGTACAACAAACAAAGGCTGCAGTGGCAAACAGAACAGAAAATATTTCTTGAACTGAAGGAGAGCATGGAAGCATATTTTCGGGGCAGACAAACCTCTTGGAGAACAGCCGGCTAGAACCAGGGATGTCGTGCGACGGAGAACCAGCCCCGGATCGCGAGTTGCCCGCCATCTTGTTTGAAGGGTTGAGACCTCCAGACAAACCGAACGGAGACCTAGAAGGCGGTAGAGGATCAATGGGGGAGTTGCTGGCTGAAGGAGAACCAGAACGAGGTTGACTGCCAGACTGAGAGGCGTAGCCGAGAGTCAAGTGTTCGGATCTAGAAGTTGACATTATCGATTATCTAGCCGACCTCATAAGACGGTGACACAGGGAAGTGTCGGGCCGGATAGTTGATTATTATTCTCGGCGGAGACTGATCGACTGACCACCTAGAGTAGAGGATCAATACGTTCGTTCAGTCGTTTCTAACGGCGAAAAAAAGACAACCCTAAGATAGAAATCGTCGGGAAAACAGTCTAGTAGCTGTCGATGGACGATGTCGAGCGATGGACGAGGAAATGCCGACGTGAAAGCGTCAGATGGCAATAATTCGAGCGTATTCGAGAGAAACGGGGAGGCTGGATTTAAGGAGCGCGATGCGAACAAGAAGAAATCCAGGAACCGCCGGTATTACAAAGGATGCTCGTGCGAATGGGAAGGACAAGGCCTGCCTGAGCCGAGAACAGGTCGTGATTCTAAAGAACTGGAGAGGCCGCAACGACTGGGGCGAAGCAATTATTGCTCAAGCGAAGATGCAATTGACGTGGACTTTTTGACAGTTGTGGTCGTTGAGCGTCATCCGAGCCTGCGGCTTGAGAGAGGGCGCAAAAAAGAACAGGGAATGTAAAGGGGACTATGTCGAGGGGGGAGGGGAAGAGGGCACAAACAAAGATACGATCAATATACAGGCCTCATTGAAGAAGTACAAAAAAAGGAAGATTTTTCGACTGGGCCTGGAGAAGTAGACGAGCGAGGCGCGCGATTATGGGGAATGGGGCACGAAACGGGGGGTGAGGGAGGAGGAGGAGGAGTCGAGATGTGCGATGTGCGAAGAGGAGAACTTGAAAGAAGGGCCTTGGAAGACGGGCTAATATGGAACCTGGGTTAGTAGGCACTGGCTGGCAGTAGGTGGAGGACAGCTATCCATAGGTTCAGTTGGTAGTATGAATGTACAGTACCTCCAAGGGACGGACAAGGCATCGAGGTGCCCTGACCGGGCTGGGCTGGGCGGGCTACTACTGTAACCTGGGCTGCTCTTAGGTGTGCCCTGTTCCTGCCCGTACCTGAACCCGGACCTCCGTGACAGTTTGTTTCTACTGGGCAGGAACGATGGAGTGGGAGAGCCGAGAAAGCCCCCATGCCATATTCGTCACTCAATAGGCAATTACTAGTGGTCGCTGGTCAGCCTCCCGTCCACCTGTCTTTCCATACCTACTGTACAGTGCAGGAGGTCCTTCTTCTCACAAAAGCAACAAATAATTTTAGTGGACTCTTTGAAAGATGGAAGCGAACCCAGACACCTAAGATACCTAAATTCAGGCTGTGCGCATTCCTATCAGGGCTGTACAGTACAGTATTGGATTAGTAGTTACGCGTCCATATTCGTCACGGAACAACCGCATTTATTTTGCTGCATCTGGGCCGATTTCGTATTGAGATTTGGATACATGTCGACTGGGCAACTCAATGGTTCTACTATTGAGCAGTTCCGGTTGTGATACTGAGTGCTCCCTGAATCAAGCCATTATTTAGTAGCCCGGCAATGTGTAGTTCAAGATACACTCACTTTTCTAACTTAGTACATACCTTACTTAACAATTGCGAAACGGGCTCAAACTTGAATCTTATTAAGCATCAAATAAAGTTCCCTCATCTTGATCGGCTACCTTTGAGTTGCGAAGCCTTTTACCCGGCTCAACAATGCACGAATCATTGGCAATCTGTCATCCATTGTTCTGTAGAATAATACGAGCCGTGTAGATTCTTGCCAAGGTCCATCCCCCACAGTAGGTAGCCACTTTTCGAGATGTCTATAAATGGATAACCGTTTTTCTTGAGTCCTTTACCAGTACAGAATTAATGTTTGTTGAAAGCGCCCAGGGGGACGGTTGGCCGAGGACTTATTAATCTTCCCTTTCTCCATCCCACCTACTGCGAGCTGTACTGTATCTATTCCTGGCTTCTATTACTTTGTTCCGTTTGTGTGTGTGAGAGTGTGTGTGTGCAGTGCATGCCTTTTTCTCCACATGCCCCCATTACAAACTCCATGTTTAAACGGGCATCATCAAGTCGGCACGTACCCGAGAACGTTGTGGTATCGTGTATCGGAAACTCTGTCAAACACGAATACCAATTAAGTTCCGCGGATGTCCAACTGCCTTTGATTTCTAAAGGACTTTCAAAAATGGTTGTTCATCGTCTGGATTTGATATCCAGGGGGTTCAAGGGGTTGCCAAGCTATCTACCTACCATCCGCCAGGTCATGCCTCTCTTTGGTGGTGCCGTAATTTGTACTGTACTTAGAGGCTAGCTACAGCTACAGATGACAATTCACCAAACCGAAATGTATTGCTAGCCATCGGTTGCTTATACTCCAAGAGTTCCCAGTAAACCAACTCGGCATCAAGACTCGATTAGGAGCCGTTAAAACGAAACGCTCCGTGACAGAGCAACGGGCAAAGCTGAAATCTAATTCGTGGGAAACTATCGTCCTATACAGCCTTGCTTCTTCAACGTTATCCTTCACATCCATCCTCACATTCATTCCCCCTATAACCCCCTTCTTGATGACCTCAAGTCAATTCTCTTTCACTTTCATGCTTCTACAAATGCCAACTCTCATTGGTTATACTGATGACACTCTGCACCTCTTTCGAGCCCCTTCTCGACAGCAGAACCAATCACAACCCGTAATTCCTCGATGGAGGATCTGTTAGTCTCCCGATGAAACAAGCCCTATTCTTCCCTGACTCTCATGCCCCCTACCCGTACATATCATGGATGCCCAGGCCCATGCACCCGCATGAGCATCTCGGTTGATAGCTCAGGGGTTGTCATGAGCATCTCGAAACGCAGCTCTTACTCTCTCCCCTCCCCTCCCCCTTCATCAATTGACCGCTCAGCCGAGTTTTGACGACATCCTCCAATGGATTTCGGCTTTCGTTTTTCCTCGCTTGGCCCTGTTTCAGATAGCGGCCCGCAAACCCCGGCTTATGGCCAGGCCCAGCAGTGTCCATGTTCTATTCCTGGTATCGTGGTTTCAACACTAACTTATATGCTCAAAAAGCATTGCAAGTACAAGCACCATGGATTCCGCTCTTGCTAGTATTTCATGTTGCAACAGAAATCCAGGTTACCTTTCAGGCGCCCCGATTCTTATTTTCTTATATTGGTTGTCTTTTATTACGCTCTTTCAGAGTGACCCTCCTGCGACAGATCGTTCCCAAATGCGCTCAAAATGTCACTATTGCTCTATACCCGGACTATGTTGTCCCGCCCAGCCTGCTCAAAAGTGTCAAAGAGTCTGCAACATCTATCACCCGACTCCTAGTACACTGGGTATTTGTCCGACCTTTCATGGCATTTCATCATCATCGGTACCGCGTAATGACATTTCTTGGGCCAGTTGCCGCCGCCAAATAGGTCAAGAGTTACCAAACGTAGAACAACATCTCTGCCAAGTGCGAGAGGTGCCAAAGATCTTTCGCCCGTAAACGCCAAGAGGGGAAAACTTCATGAGAGGGATATATGTGCCACCTTGCTTTCAAACCTCATTCAAAATGCCAAACTGCAACATGAGCGCCTGCTCCTCAAATATTCATCCATGCTTCTCTCTTTATTTGGCATGCTTCTTGAATGCCAGCAGATCGGCCAGACTGTTAAGTGGGCAACCGTGACGCAAGAAATCATGAGCCAACAGTTCATCGGCTGAGGCGCGACTCTTGACGTCGACGCACAGGCAGACGGACAAGAACGCCTTGAGTTCTTTGCTGAGCTTCTCGGGCTTCTTGAGTCGAGGCGTTCCATTAGTCGCGATGAGGTAAAGAGCCTTGAGAGGCTCCTCGTTGAGGTATGGAGGCTCAGACTCTATCATTTCAATAGCCATGATACCCAAAGACCAGATATCGACCTTGGGGCCGTATTCCTTCTGCTTGACAACCTCGGGGGCCATCCAATAGGGGGTTCCCACCATGGTGGCTCGCTTGGACTTTGTCTCTGTGAGCTTCGCGCAGAAGCCAAAATCAGCTGCAGATGGTTAGAATCAGATACAGGATAGCATTCATTCAAGTTGATTGACTTACTAATTTTGACGTTTCCGCGAGCGTCCAGTAGAACGTTGTCACTCTTAATATCACGGTGAATAATGTTTTGCGAATGCAAGTGCTGCAATCCTTGGCAAGTCTGAAAAGAAGATTAGCTTCCATCATATGTGAGCGGTGGTACTAGACCTACCTCGTGACAGATAGTTGAAATCTGCTCTTCCGAGATTGAAGGGTTGTTGTCAATCACATCAGTGAGAGCACCACCCTCCATAAACTCCATAACAACCCATAGCTCCGCGTTGTTGTTGCGCAAGAATGCATCGAGGAAGTTGACAATGTTGCGGTGCCGGCTGTCCTTCATAACCATGATCTCATTCACAATAAGTTCCTTCCTAGGTTGATGTGCGAGATCCATTTGTTTGATGGCAACCTGGGCTCGGGGGCCCTGGGCACGCAGAATATCGCGGGCAATGCCCTGAGCTGTCTCCTTAATCTTGGCGACGTAGACGGATCCAGATGCACCCTGGCCAATCTTCTTCTGCTTAGAGTAGGAAATGTTGGGGTCGTCCTTAGAGACAGCTTCCTTAAGCTTGGCCATAACCTCACTCTCGGACATAGTGGACATCCTAACGTCCTGCTTGCGCTCTGAGGGTGAAGGCTTAGCAGTGAGAGCAGCCTCGGCGGCCTTAACGCCGTCTGCTTGCTGCTGTGGCTGACTAGGCTTTGGTGCAACATTAAGTGGCTTTACAGGAGCTGGCAGTCGCGAAGCCTGGGCCTGTTGCTGGGGCTGTCGGGTCTGCGGCGACTGGTTTCCATTGGCGTAACGAGGTGCATTTGCATGACTAGTAGCGCCATTGTCGGCTCTGGGGGTTCGCTGTGCCTGTGTAGGGTCTCTCAGAGAGCTGGAACTAGGTTGAGAGGACAAAGGTGGTCGCTGGGATGTTACGTTGGGGGGTGAAGGAGCAGGACGCTGTGCCCGTAGGTTGCTTTGCTGTTGTGAAGGCTTTGGCGCGGGAGGGGCTGCTCGCG